TTTTTTTTTTTTTTTTTGCTTGGGGCGGCCAAAAAGCCAGAGCCGGCCCTGGAGCCAGCCTGGCTTGACACCTCTCTGTCCTGCAATGAGTTGGGGCACGCCTGACACAGCCTGCTCATGTGGGAGAGGACAGGCCTCCCCCGGTCCCTCACGGAGGAGAAGGCCCCACCCAATATCCCTGGTCCCATGGAGGGAGCTCAACTTGGACTGACACCCATCATTACATGAGGGGCATATTACGTGACACAGAGCCACCACAGCCTGATGGCTCCTACATCACCCAATGCTGCAAGGTGGAGGTGGCCTGGTTCAATGACCCTCCAGTCCTGTGGGAAAACAAAGCCCAGCACATAACATTCCTGTGTATGGAGATGGTCCAGCCAGCTGCTCTCACAGGGAGAAGGCCTAGCCTGACCTACTGGTCCCACAGGTGGAAGCAGGAGTGCCGCCAGCCTTCTTGCCGCCCTAGGCGGCGGAAGGTCCCACCCCTGAAATGCCGCCCCCGACAGAGGCAGCGGAAGGTCCCGCCCCCGAAATACCGCCAACGACCAGGGCGGCCGAAGATCCGGCCGCCGTGGTCACCGCCTCCCAAATGTTAGTGCCCTAGGCGACCGCCTAGGTCGCCTAATGGGTTGTGCCGGCCCTGGGTGGAAGACAATGCAGACTGACGCCCACCCCCGCCCCCATCCTGTTAGAGGAGATGACCTGATCTAAAGCCCAGAAGGCCCACATGGGGGCTTTACCTGGTGCAAGCCCCCTACTCCCAGTCTGACATATCCTGGATCCACAGGGGGAGATGGTCTGGCCCTACTCTACCCAGGCCTGTAAGATGGAGATATTCCAGCTCAATTCTCCCCAGTCTCCCTGGGCTGACATCGCCAAGGGAAAAATGGACCTACTCACTGGCATATATGCCTATAGCAGTAGTAGGTCTGGCATGACACCCAATTCCTGCAGGGGGAGATGACCTGGCCTGACACATCCCACTCCCATGGGGCTAAATGGTTAGCCTGCCTGCCTTGATGTATACTAGTCCTGTGCATGGAGACCTAACAGCAGTGATGCCAATTTTCACAACTTCATCACCCGTAACATGAGTAACCTGAGTTTGGCCCACTGCTGGAGCAAGTCTCGGAGAAGCTCCAGCCTTCACAGCAATTTCAGACCACCCATCAGAAACTCCCCTCTGATAGGCTGTTATTTCCCAGGAGGTAGGGAAGTGGGGAAGGCAGCCAATCAGAGCTGAATGGGGGCTGGGGCACAGGCAGATATGGGGACAAAATTAATGTGGGGGCTGGTGGAACCAAATTGAATGGAGGTAGGGGGCAGATGCATAATTATTTGCTGGGCTGTAGGATGGGCTGATGTAGGGCTTTTGAGAGGACAACAGCTTTAATTAGCCAGTTCGGATTTGGGGAGAAGCTGAAAGCTCCACACCCTCAAACAGCCACTGAGAGCTCGTGCACTGGGACAGGGGTGTGTGTGTCAAAAATCACTTTATACATTTGGGAGATCTGGAAACACTGATGATCCCATGTGCGTCCGCACACACACACACACAAACACACACACACACACAGAGGGAGTGGGCAAGGAGAGTTCAAAAATTGAAAGAGACAAAAAAATATAATCTTTCTTTTTTAAAACTCATGATTTCTTGGGGTCAAACACATGATTTTTGAACTTTTGGGGTTGGCACTAGTGTAGGTGTCCTAAAGACCAAGACTGGCCATTTTGAAAGGGAAAATCATCAGCACAGGAAAACACAAGGGGGCAAGCCAGACATGTCCCCCTCAATACCTTTTGCCCCAGGGGCTTAGTTTGTGTTCCATGTGCTTTAACTCTGCCAATCCTGGAGCCAGTCCAGTGGGAAATACTCATGTGCTGTGACCTGAAAAAGCCACTGGAGGTCACTCTTTTTCCAGTCAAGAATTACTGAGGCTGCAGCTGCCCCTTGCCTTCCTTCCCGGAACCACTCCCAGTCTTTCTCCCTGCATTGCCCCAGCACAAGCCCGTGGAGATTATTATTATGTTCCCTCAAACCCGATCCCCTCAAGTGTGCTGGGTGCATCACAGAGCCCTGCCCCAGTGCAAGGAGGGAACAGAAGCTACATAAAGGAACTCTCATGCTCCTTGCTAAGGTTGCATCCAGCTTCTCTCCCTCCCTGTCCCTGCCCCTTTAGACACAGTCACTCAGCCAGGCCTCTCTACACCTGCCCCTTAGACACAGTCACTCAGCCCACTCATTCTGTGCCTATCTCTTTAAGATACAATCGCTCAGCCCAGCCTCTCTGCTTCCCTCCACCTGCCCATTTAATTACACATTCACTTCCCCCCTGACCACCTTCTTACTCCAGCTCACATATTTCTCCAGCCTATGGGCAGTTTTTAACTCTTGTGTTTGTAATTCCTGCTTGATGCCTCAGACTCCCCTAGTTCAGGCAGCCTACATAAAGCTGCCCTCTTCCTGCAGCTCTGTTCTTACAGACTCTGACCTCTAGCCTCTTCCCCAGCTCTTCCTCCCAAACCCATTTTCCTAGCACAAAAATTTGGCATTGCTGATATCAGAGGGGCTTCTGGAGCAGTGAAGCTGCAGCCCTGTTGTGTTCATGCTGCTGGTTCTCTGCCTCCTGGGAGCCTGGATGCACCTGGAAGGAGGTGGTTGACAGGGCTTCAGTCCCTCATGGTGCTAGCAGAGACTATTTGGGGACTTAGGGCATCAGGGAAGGCCCCTTCACTGTTGTGGGGACTGTGGGCTGTTGCCAATGCATTTGGTGCTGTACACACAGTCATTCCTTTGCAATCACTGGGATTCCACTGTCCTCCCAACACCCAGATTCACACCTGACTGCCATAGCTGCCTCCTCTCTTCCCTTTCATAGATTTAAGGTCAGAAGAAACAATTAACCCATCTAGTCTACCCTCCTGCATATTATGGGCTAGAGAATTTCACTCATATCCAGGGCCTTGGCTGTCAGCACATCCTGGCAGCTCTTCCTTTGCAACATCTCTGAGTTCCACCGTGAACACTCAAAGCTGCTCCATGTCTTGGCCTTCTCTCTCATCTGACTCCTACCACCGCCTCCTCGCTAGCCTCCCTATATCTCATCTCACTGCCCCTCTGCTGTCACTTGGACACACAGATTCCCTTTCAAATTTCCTTGTGGGGCATTTCTGCTCTAGCACGATCTTGGGCTCATTTCCGCCTATTCCCCACCCTCCAGGCAAGCTTCCATCCCCTTCTCCCAATCCCTGAAACCGCTTCCCTGGTCTTGCACCAAATGACCAGGCTCTACTCATTGAAACCTTTGTCTTTCTATAAATCCTAGAAGCTACGTCACCCCCTGCAGTGAGAATGCCAAAAACCCAAACAAAACCATCTCAGAGGCAACCAGCTTTTTTCTCTCATTCTGCATAGGAAGCTGGGACTTTGAGGGTAGGGATCCCTCTTTTCTTTATTGGGCTATTCTCCACACCCTTCATGTCTGTTATCCTTTCACTGTAGGCTAGATTTTTGTCCCACTATGGCCCATTGATGCTGTCCACTCGTGCAAAGGGTTTGGAAACCCCTGTCGGGGGGCATTCCCCTAGCATAAGAGCAGCACAGGGCCCTACACTGCTCTCAGCAGGGGTGTGTTGGGGTGCAGCTAGTGGCTAGAAGGGGGAGTGGCCAGGGTGGTTTGAGCTCTCACTATTCTGGGCTGTGGGACAATCCCTGGGCAGCTATACAATGCTGCTGTTAAGTTAGGGGCTGCTGTAACTTACTCCAGGAGCTGTGCTTGAAGTCACTTTTGCCTAGCCCTTGCCTTTGGCGTTACATCTCCAGGGAGGTGCAGATCAGAATCTGGCTGTGTCTCTTCAGTCCAACTTTAGATGGGAAGCCCCTTGGGACAAGGATCTCACTTTTACAGTCACCAGTAAAACTCTGTGCACTCTGTGGCAGGGCATAAATAGCAATGACAATAAAGAGGAAGGCACAGTCCCTGCCCCAGAGTGTATATAAACAGCCCAGATCCCCTTGGGTGACCAGCTGCAGGTGCGATCTCAGTCAGCAAAGAGTTTTCATAGACTCATAGTAGACCCATAGTTCTGTGGTGGACTGTGGCTGAAAGACTTTGGAAGAGTATTTTTAGGAGGATTCTGACTGAGGAGAGTGAGGCCATTTGGAACATAAAGGAAGGGAAACAATTTCAGGTACAGGGGGCAGCATGAGTGGGGGAGGCACAAAGTGAGATTGGGAGAAGAATTCAAGCAGAGCAGATAGGCAGGAGCCTTGGGTGGGGTCAGATCAACCTAGCAGGCAACCTGCTCCATTCAACCTCTAAGCAAGGGCAGGTTAGTGATAGGACAAAGGGAAAGTGTAAGGTGACACAGGCCAGCCTGGATTGCTCCAGCTGCTGAGAATACAATCACCAGCCAGTTCTGGCTTCAGTGCAAAAGCAGTTGTCAGAATTCAGATTAGCATGAAGGTTATTCCAGTCAAACATTCCTACAGCCCACCCCCTTTCCTTCCCTTAAAAGGGATTGAATTTCCTTTGCATGTATCCATCTGGAACAGGCGAGAGAGAGCGTCAGGAAGAGACGGGGCACCTCGTGAGCTCTCTGCTGAGTGCGGATTTATAATCTGATGAACAGAGAGAGACCCAGCTAACACCCCACTCCTTCCGGCTCAAGGTCACAGCTCCAGGGCAGAGTGAAAGCACTTAACCTGGAGTTTGTATCTAAAGAAGAAGAGCACAGTTCTGAAGACCATTTCCTGCTTGTTGCAGAGTTGGGGATCTCTCTTGCAACCCTGGATCATGGCCTGGCTGCTTCCCAGGGCTTGCTGCCTAAAAGTCTTCTGTCAGTCCTCTAGAGGACCCTTTTCTTCTGGAATAGCTAGAGCTTGGAGCGGTGGGCCCCTGACTGCATATATGCCGGAAGCTGTAGCGTTCGCTGGATCAAGGGACCACCCAGGGCTGTACAAGGTGTCAGTGGAGCACGTAGATGAATTCTGGGGAGCTCTAGGGAGAAGCCGACTCATGTGGATTAATCCTTTTCACTCTGTCAAAGACTGTAATCTACAGCAGGGCTGGGTGTCCTGGTTCCTGGGAGGACAACTGAATGTAGCAGGTAAGCAGGAAGCCAGACCCCCCCACTCCCGTTTGCTGGCCTCTTGGGGAACCCATCTGGTCCCAGCATCTTCAGGATGGATCCTTTTCAGTCTCATGAATCTGTTCCTGGGAATGCACACACCGTTAACTCCTTCCGTTAGCCAGTGGCTACTGGGGAAGTTCTAAGGCAGCAAGAATTAGCTTTCTGTTTTTAGACACTTTCTTGGAAGTGCACTGATCTGTCTTTCCCCTGCATGTGGAAATCCTAACCTGAGAGGAATAGTCTGAGGAACAGACACCAAAGAGGGAGGAGGGAAAGGGAAGAAAGTGTGTCAGAGAGTGAGGGTGTGAGTGTGAGACAGCACCTGCCTCTGACCCCCACTTTCCCTGGCGTGTTTGTTCCCAGTCTTATTCTCCTCACACCCAAGTCTGGTGGTGCTCAACGGTGCCACTCAATCCAACACTTTCATGAAAACTAGGGCGGTAGAGCTGAGCAGCACATTCTGGTAAAAGGATTCAAATGAGGGATGGTCTCTCAGATCCAGGCACAAACTCAGCCAGAGGATTCCTGCCAGGAACGGTCTAATCGGCTGTGTGTGGTAGGTGTGTAGGAATGTGATTGGTTGTAGGGGAGTGAGTGTGTCTCATTAGCATGTGTGAATACAGCTGGACCATCACGTGCTGTGAGCCTAGCTGCTCTCACAAGCTAAGTGTCATTGGGCCTGGTCAGTACCCTTTTGTGGGAGTCCTCAAAGGTGCACCCATGTGCTACTGGGGTCATCAAGTAGAAGTTAGTGCGCGTCCCTTATCAATGAGTGCCTCTTCACAGTGCTAGATAGCAGCACTGCCAACCCCAACCACTCAAAAATCATGAGTCAGGCCCCCCAAAATCATGAGATTTCAAAAATATTAAGTTTTGGTTCTTTTTTTATTTGCTTTCTGATTTTTGAGCCTTTAGGGGTCACATTTTCAAACTTTTATCTGGAACCACGAGGGAGAGAAATTTATTTTTTTTAAATGAAAGCTGAAAGTCTCACATAATCACAACTCCAGGAGCTGGAGCTCTACAACAAACAACATATGTAATGAGACTCCCAATAAAACTACAAGTGTTGGCAACACTGGTGTTGTCAGAGGAGCCCACTTTGGGATAAGTTTTAAAACCAAGGTCTTGACCGCTTGTGGTCATTAAACATTCCGGGAACTCTAAGTACCCCCAGAGTTCTGGCCCTATTCCATCTCAGGTGATTGCATTCTGCTTCCCTACATTCCCTCTGTAGTGCTCCTCACTTGCTGTCCTAAACTGCCTTCTGGAGTGCTGCTGTCACTGTTTAATAGCTGCCCCATTTCACTAAAGAGGCAGCTGCATTTCAGTGGGAGGTGAAGTGTTCTCTGTGGATTGCTTACCTGCCACACAGGGTTGCTGAGAAATGACTGAGTTAATATTCATGAGGCACTCAGAGAGCCGCCAAGGACAAGTGCAGAGGGCTGTTATGGTTACTCAGGGTGTTTGGGGGAAGTTTCTGGTTAGGAATGTGCAGATTGCAAGTAAGGATGAGGAGGATGGTCATGGGTGTGGTGGGTAAGAAGGTGTGGGAGTGGAATTGGGGTGGTGCTTCTGACCTGATGGCTGGTGCTAGCAATGATGTGGTTTAATGGGTTGAATAAAAGTCAAACTTACAATGCAGCCACCCTGATTGGTATTCAGAAAATGGAGTCACTAGCACTGGCTTTACTAGAATTGAAAATAGCTGAGCCTGTAATGACAGTCAATCTTCTCTTTCAGTGAATTGTCTGGATCGACATGTCCACACAGCCCCAAACAAAGTGGCCCTGATCTGGGAGAAAGATGAGCCTGGGAAAGAAGTCCGGGTTACATACAGGTCAGTACTTACCTCTGTACTTACCCCATCAATTCCCCCATCCTGAGCTGGAGGAATTGAGCACAGAGGGCTGGTATGGTTACTTATCTGATTAAGGAACCAGAGTCTTTCATCTCCAGCTCTGCGGGGCTACCAGAAGGGAAGGGAAGCTAGCCCCATCTGTTCCCAGTTCAAAGAAACTTCTGGGATGAGAGAACTTCTAATTACAAGCTGGTTTCTTTGGACAGAGAACTGCTTGAGTTGACCTGCCGTCTGGGAAACACCTTGAAACGACAGGGAGTGAAAAGAGGTGACCGAGTCACCATCTACATGCCCCCATGCCCTCTGGCTGTGGCAAGCATGCTAGCCTGTGCCCGGATAGGAGCCGTACACACTGTGGTATTTGCCGGATTCAGCTCCGAGGCTCTAGCTGACAGGATCCGGGATGGTAAGCGCCTTCTTCAAACTGATAGGTGCTCTGTGCACAAATTGTCCCTTCATCCTGTCCCCTTGGAGAACAATATCAACCCCTGTCAGCTTCAGTGACCAGTGGTGCTGAGGGTGTGGTGATTGTGCCCGAAGCTTCGTGGCAAACTCCTCCTGTCCTGGCATTCTTACTCCTCCAGCCATGGAGGAGAGAGTGGCCTAAGGGAGTGGAGGAAATGTGTGGGCCCGGGATCACATGCTCAGGCCACCCAAGAACATCGCCACAACTCCCCACAAGCTGTAGCTACAGACAAGCCCTGCCCTGAGAGACGGTTTGGAAAATAAAAGCTGCAGCCAGGAAGTCAACTGAGGGAGATGAAACAGTTTGCACAGGGATCACTCATTCCCACGGGCGGCCTGGAAGGAAGAGGCTTAAGATGCAGCAGGGGAAGTTCAGGTTCAATATTCAGAGATGCTCGCTAACCCTAAGCAGAGCTCAACACTGGCACATGCTACCAAGGGACAGTGCTGGAATGCTCCTCATCAGCGGAGCTCTTTAAGGAGAAACATCCTCTGCCCTGTCAGGGATGATTAAGGAATCCTGCCATGACGATGCACGGCAGGGAGGAGAGGACTAAATATCCCAGTAGAGGGCCTGCCCTGATCCAAGGCTATTCACTAGGTCTCTCTAGAAGCCTCTTCCAGTCCAATGGATGCTGTGCCTGGCTTCATCAAATTCAGCATTTTAAAAATAAGCTCCTAGAGCAGCAAGGTCTGTCAGGCCATCCCCTCTTGGCATGGAGGCTTGAGTTCTCTGCCTCATCAGAGGGAGCAAGGGCCTGGAATGCTGCCTCTCATCAGGTTGTATGTGACTTAATGGGACACATTAATGGGAAAGAAAGAGTTTAAAACTGCTGCTCTTATTTTAAAGAGAGGCCATGAAAACTGGAGATGGGAGGGGGAAAGAGAGAGAAAAGGCATGCGGGGCAGGGCAGGGTTAGATGTGTGTGTGGAGCTGGAGGTGTGGGGGCTAGACATCATGGTAATAATGATGGAGGGCGAGAGGGCAGGGGAGCAGCTGGGCTGAGGTAAAGGGCTGATCATGCTGCTGTTTGTTTTCTTCTCTTTTGCCCTCTTCAGCACAGTCAGAGACAGTGATCACTGTGAACCAGGGGCTGAGGGGGGGCAAGGTTATTGAGCTGAAGCAGACAGTGGACCAGGCCGTGCGTGCATGCCCGCTGGTGAAGCGAGTTCTGGTTTCCATGAGGACTGAGCAGAAGGTTCCCATGTCAGAACTGCATGTGCCGCTGGAGGAGGTGAGATGCCATATGGAGCTACCACCAACTTCCCCCCAGGGAATCAGGAGAAGTGGTGGGGGGGTGGGTTTCCAGCCCAGCCCAAAGGACCGTGTTTGCACTTAGATGCACCGGGGCCATTGTTCTGGGGTAACAGTGTCATGGTCCGAAGCTTATTGCCCAGGCCAGGAACCTTCCCAACAACAGTTTCCCTGCTCTCCAGAATGAATGAATGAGTTAAAGTGGGGAGCTCTTGGAGACGCAATGTTCTCTGTGTAACATCAGGGGCTGGCAGTACTAACCAGAGCCTGCAATAGTGTGGGCAAGACCTTGAAAACTATCTGCCCATGTGCCTCAGACCTGGCCTATAGCACTCCCTGCTATTCCAGCCCTGGGCTCCCCACACATCTTTGTCTATGCACCTCATTCCTGGCTTGCAGTACCCCTGCTGTTCCAGTCTGGGTGGGGCCCACAGCCACATTTACTGACTGCAGTCAGTGCTATACAAGGCATAAACAGTGACGTGGGCTGTCTCTCTTGGTGTTTACACTCTTAGGCCTGGTCTAAACTACGAGTTTAGGTCGACTTTAGCCGCGTTAAATCGAATTAAGCCTGGACACGTTCACACGACGAAGCCCTTTCTTTCGACTTAAAGGGCCCTTTAAACCGGTTTCTTTACTCCACCTCCGACGAGGGGATTAGCGATAAAATCGGCCTTAGGGGGTTGGAATTGGGGTAGTGTGGACGGAATTCGACGTTATTGGCCTCCGGGAGCTATCCCACAGTGCTTCATTGTGACCGCTCTGGACAGCACTCTCAACTCAGATGCACTGGCCAGGTAGACAGGAAAAGCCCCGCGAACGTTTGAATTTCATTTCCTGTTTGCTCAGCGTGGAGAGCACAGGTGACCACGCAGAGCTCATCAGCACAGGTAACCGTGATGGAGTCCCAGGATCGCAAAAGAGCTCCAGCATAGACAAAACGGGAGGTACGGGATCTGCTCGCCATATGGGGAGATGAATCAGTGCTAGCTGAACTCCGAAGCAGTAAACGAAATGGCAAAATATTAGAAAAGGTCTCCAAGGCCATGAAGGACAGAGGCCATAACAGGGATGCACAGCAGTGCCGCGTGAAAATTAAGGAGCTAAGGCAAGCCTACCACAAAGCCAGAGAAGCAAACGGAAGGTCCGGGGCTGAGCCGCAAACATGCCACTTCTACGCGGAGCTGCATGCCATTCTAGGGGGTGCAGCCACCACCACCCCAACCGTGTGCTATGACTCCCTCACTGGAGAAACACACAGGGAAGAGGGTTCGGAAGAGGAGGATGGAGAAAATGTAGATAGCTCACAACCGCAAGGAAGCGGAGAAACCGGTTTCCCCAACAGCCAGGATATGTTTGTCACCCTGGACCTGGAACCAGAAACCCCCGAACTCACCGAAGACCCTGAGGGCACCCAGGGAACCTCTGGTGAGTGTACCTTTGTAAATTTTACACATGGTTTAAAAGCAAGCGTGTTTAATGATTAATGATTCATTTGCCCTGGTAATCGCGGCCAGTACAGCTACTGGAAAAGTCTGTTAACGTATATGGGGATGGAGCGGAAATCCTCCAGGGACATCTCCAGAAAGCTCTCCTTCATGTACTCCCAAAGCCTTTGCAAAAGGTTTCTGGGGAGGGCTGCCTTATCCCGTCTGCCATGGTAGGACACTTTACCACGCCAGGCCAGTAGCACGTAGTCTGGAATCATTGCATAACAAAGCATGGCAGCGTATGGTCCCAGTGTTTGCTGGCATGCAGACAACATCCATTCCTTATCGCTCTTTGTTATCCTCAGGAAAGTGATATCATTCACGTTCACCTGGTTGAAATGGGGCAATTTTATTAAGGGGCCATTCAGAGGTTCCTGCTCTGCTGAACAGAAATATTCCCCGCTGTTAGCCACGCGGTGGGGGGAGGGGTGAAGTGATCATCCCAGAGAATTGGGTGTGTGAGGGGAATTAGTTGGGTTTGTGCTGCATGTTAACCCGGAAACCGCAGCCCCTCCTTTTACATTGCAAACCCATTTTAAATGGCCAACCCAACGGGTGCTTGGTATGGGAAATGAGAGCACTACTGGTTGAAACCATTCCCACATGTTAAGAAGGTTAAAAAAGCCAAAAGACTGTGTCTTACCATGGCTGCCTGCAAGCTAAAATCTGTGGCCTGGCACTGCGTGAGTGATCTCTCACACCAAACCGGCAGGCCCTCAATATAAGAGGAAAAATGCGACCTTGTAACGAAAGCACATGTGCTGTGTAATGTGAACAGCAAAATTTAACGTGAAAGAGTGTACCCATTGTTCTCTAAAATGTGTCTTTTTTAACCACCTCTCCCTTCTCCTCCACCAGCTGCAAATGTTTCTCCTTCACAGATGCTAGTGAAGATTAGAAAGAGAAAGCGTAGGACGCGTGATGACATGTTTACAGAACTACAGATGTCCTCCCACGCTGACAGAGCACAGCAGAATGCGTGGAGGCAGTCAATGACTGATTATAGAAAAGCACAATATGAACGAGAGGAGAGGTGGCGTGCTGAATCGCGGGATGAACAGAGCAAGTTGCGGGCTGAAGATGATAGGTGGCGTCAGCTTGCACACAGAAGGCAAGAGTCGATGCTCCGGCTGCTGGAGCATCAAACTGATATGCTCCAGCGTATGGTTGAGCTGCAGGAAAGGCAGCAGGAGCAGAGACCGCCGCTACAGCCCCTGTGTAACCAACAGCCCTCCTCCCCAAGTTCCATAGCCTCCTCACCCAGACGCCCAAGAACACGGTGGGGGGGCCTCCGGCCACCCAGTCACTCCACCCCAGATGATTGCCCTAGCATCAGAAGGCTGGTCTTCAATAAGAGTTAAAGTTTTAAACTGCAGTGTGTCCTTTTCCTTCCCTCCTCCCCCACCCATCCCGGGCTACCTTTGCAATTATCCCCCTAGTTGTGTGATGAATTAATAAAGAATGCATGAATGTGAAGTAACAATGACTTTATTGCCTCTGCAAGTGGTGCTCGAAGGGGGGAGGGTGCGGTGGTTGGTTTACAGGGAAGTAGAGTTAACCGGGTGGCGGGGGGGCGGAGGGTTCATCAAGGAGAAACAAACAGAAGTTTCACACCGTAGCCTGGCCAGTCACAAAACTCGTTTTCAAAGCTTCTCTGATGCGCACCGCGCCATGCTGTGCTCCTCTAACCGCCCTGGTGTCTGGCTGCACGTAATCAGCGGCCAGGCGATTTGCCTCAACCTCCCACCCCGCCATAAATGTCTCCCCCTTACTCTCACAGATATTGTGGAGCGCACAGCAAGCAGCAATAACAATGGGGATATTCTTTTCGCTAAGGTCTGAGCGAGTCAGTAAGCTGCGCCAGCGCGCTTTTAAACGTCCAAATGCACATTCCACCACCATTTGGCACTTGCTCAGCCTGTAGTTGAACAGGTCCTGACTCCTGTCCAGGCTGCCTGTGTACGGCTTCATGAGCCATGGCATTAAGGGGTAGGCTGGGTCCCCAAGGATCACGATAGGCATTTCAACATCCCCAACGGTTATTTTCTGGTCCGGGAAGAAAGTCCCTTCCTCCAGCTTTCTAAACAGAGCAGACTGCCTGAAGACGCGAGCATCATGTACCCTTCCCGGCCAGCCCACGTTGATGTTGGTGAAATGTCCCTTGTGATCCACCAGGGCTTGCAGCAGCATTGAAAAGTACCCCTTGCGGTTTATGTACTCGGTGACTTGGTGCTCCGGTGACAAGATAGGGATATGGGTTCCGTCTATGGCTCCACCACAGTTTGGGAATCCCATTGCAGCAAAGCCATCCACTATGGCCTGCACGTTTCCCAGAGTCACTACCCTTGATATCACCAGGTCTTTCATTGCCCTGGCAACTTGGATCACAGCAGCCCCCACAGTAGATTTGCCCACTCCAAATTGATTCCCGACTGACCGGTAGCTGTCTGGCGTTGCAAGCTTCCACAGGGCTATCGCCACTCGCTTCTCAACTGTGAGGGCTGCTCTCATCCTGGAATTCTGGTGCTTCAGGGCAGGGGAAAGCAAGTCACAAAGTTCCATGAAAGTGCCCTTACGCATGCGAAAGTTTCGCAGCCACTGGGAATCGTCCCACACCTGCAGCATGATGCGGTCCCACCAGTCTGTGCTTGTTTCCCGGGCCCAGAATCGGCCTTCCACGGCATGAACCTGCCCCAGGAACACCATGATTTCCACATTGCTGGGGCCTGTGCCTTGTGAGAGGTCTATGTCCATGTCATTTTCCGTATCACTCTCGTGGCCGTGCTGCAATCGCCTCCTCGGCTGGTCGTGGTTTTGCTTTGGCATGTCCTGGCTCTGCATATACTCCAGGACAATGCGCGTGGTGTTCATAGTGCTCATAATTGCCGCGGTGATCTGAGCGGGCTCCATGATCCCAGTGCTAGCTATGGCGTCTGGTCTGAAAAAAGGCGCGAAACTAGTATCTGACGGACCAGGGGAAGGAGGGAGGGAGGGAGGGGCAAGTGACGACATGGCGTACAGGTACAGGGAATTAAAATCAACAAAGGTGGCTGTGCATCAGGGAGAAACACAAACAACTGTCACACAGAATGGCCCCCCCCAAAGATTGAACTCAAAAGACTGGGTTTAGCAGGCCGTTGATTTGACGGAGGGAGGGGGAAGCAAATGAATACAGAACAAATCTGTTTTTTACATCTTAAGACGACGGTGCAGCATGACTGATAGCCCTCGGCATCTTCTGGGTGCTTGGCAGTTATAGCCACATTTTTCCTGTATGATGACAATGGCCTTCAGGCCTATTGCACGATCTGCTGCTCAGGGAAGACTCTGCTAATGTGCGATGGGCGCTTGGCAGAAAATGGCATACTACTACTGATAGCCATCATCGTCATTGTGAAGGCAGCAGAATATGACTGGGGGGATGGGGGGCTGGGGGACATACGGAGTTCCAGCCACTGCTGTACGACGATGACGGTTACCAGTCGTAATAAACCATCTACTGGCAAAAGGCAAAAGGCAAGGGCTGGTGCAATGCAGCCCTACGGCTGCCAGTCCCACGTCTGCCAGCACATATGGTGACGGTGAGCTGAGCTGAGCGGGCTCCATGCTTGCCGTGGTATGTTGTCTGCACAGGTAACCCAGGTAAAAAGGCGTGAATCTGTTGTCTGCCATTGCTCTGACGGAGGGGGAGGGGCCTGACGACATGTACCCAGAACCCCCCGCGACACTGTTTTGCATCATTCGGGCATTGGGATCTCAACCCAGAATTCCAATGGGTGGCGGAGACTGCGGGAACTGTGGGATAGCTACCCATAGTGCAATGCTCCGGAAGTCGACGCTAGCCTCGGTACTGTGGATGCGGTCCGCCGACTAGAGCACTTAGAGCATTTTATGTGGGGACACACACAATCGGCTGTATACAACCGATTTCTATAAAACCGGCTTCTATTAATTCGACCTAATTTCGTAGTGTAGACATACCCTTAGTTAAGCACAATGCATCCAATGCTGGCCAGACCTCAGGGTAGTGGCACTTACTCTTTCTGAAGAAGTATTTTGTCGTTAGCTCCTGCGTTCAAAACAACTGCCTCCTCCATGTTTTGTACAGAGTGGAGCTCACTGTCTGTGCTCAACAAATAACCTAATTAACCTGAGAAGGCTTCTCAGAAGAATTCTGTTATGGTCAGAAAAGTGACAGTGAACAAATAGCCTCTTTCTACTCATAGACTCATAGACTTTAAGGTCAGAAGGGACCAATATGGTCATCTAGTCTGACCCCCCGCATGATGCAGGCCACAAAAGCTGACCCCCCCACTTTCCCTTAACTCTGCTGTTGAAGTCTCCAGATCGTGATCTAAAGACTTCAAGTCGCAGAGAATTTTCCAGCTTGCGACCCCTGCCCTATGCTGCGGAGGAAGGCGAAAAACCTCCAGGGCCACTGCCAATCTACCCTGGAGGAAAATTCCTTCCCGACCCCAAATATGGCGATCAGCAGAACCCCGAGCATACAGGCAAGGTTCTCTAGCCAGACCCTCATTTTACCAGCGATGGCCGTTATTGCCTAATTGATTAGAATCCCGTAATCCCATCAAACCATTCCCTCCATAAACTTATCTAGCCTAATCTTGAAGCCAGAGAGGTCTTTCGCCCCCACCGTTTCCCTCGGAAGGCTGTTCCAAAATTTCACCCCTCTGACGGTTAGAAACTTTCGTCTAATTTCAAGCCTAAATTTCCCCACGGCCATTTTATATCCATTCGTTCTCGTGTCCACATTAGCACTGAGCTGAAATAATTCCTCTCCCTCCCTGGTATTTATCCCTTTGATATATTTAAAGAGAGCAATCATATCCCCCCTCAGCCTTCTTTTGGTTAGGCTAAACAAATCAAGCTCCTCTAGTCTCCTTTCATAGGAAAGGTTTTCCATTCCTCGGATCATCCTAGTTGCCCTTCTCTGTACCCGTTCCAGTTTCAGTTCATCCCTTTTAAACATAGGAGACCAGAACTGCACACAGTACTCCAAGTGAGGTCTCACCAGCGCCTTGTATAACGGAAGCAGCACCTCCCTGTCCCTACTAGAAATACCTCGCCTTATGCATCCCAAGATCGCATTAGCTTTTTTCACAGCCACGTCGCATTGCCGACTCATAGTCATCCTGCGATCAACCAGGACTCCGAGGTCCTTCTCCTCCTCAGTCACTTCTAACCTATGCGTCCCTAGCTTATAACTGAAATTCTTATTAGTCATCCCTAAATGCATCACCTTACACTTCTCACTATTAAATCTCATCCTATTACTAATACTCCAATTTACAAGGTCATCCAAGTCTCCCTGCAGAATATCCCGATCCTACTCAGCAGATCTGCTCCCTGGCTGGGTTCAGCGTTAGAGCTGCTGGCTCAGTGATTACAGCCTTTTACTCCTGCTGGCTCCACAGAGCCTATACAGCCCTGGGAGAGGGAGCTGGAGTCTATTCTGGACAGCGCATCAGCAGAATTTTTAAGTGCGCCCCAACTGCAGAATTGTTATTACTGGTGGTGATGCCTGAGCCAGCAAGAGCCAGCTTGACCCTCAGAACCCAGGGGGAGTTTGTGGTGCCAGCATGTGGAAGAGAACCCCTCCGTTTACTTGAACACAGCACACTTGATCTAGCAACAGTGAAAAACAATGAACAATGAACACTGGCCCCACTGGTGCCATTTTGATAGTCACTTTTCAGCGTAGTTCTGCATTTTAAGGAGCCAGCTGAATGAAGAGGGGGTGAGCGTTTGGGAGTGGGAGGGAATTCAAAGCTTAAGGGCAGCATAGAAGAAGATGCAAAGACTAGGAGGCTAAGGAAATAGAGGAGCATAGGAGGAAATGAGAACAAAGATACTGTTGGGGCAGCGTTCTGTAGGGCCTTGGTGGGGGGAGGAGAAGAAACTTAAACCAGATGTGGAAGGTGAAAGGAAGACACTGAAGGGCTCTGAAGAGAGGTGGGCGGCATGGCCAGTGGCAGCACCCATTCTGGTATGTACTGGAGAGGATCAGGCAGGGAAGCAGGGAAGTCAGAGAGGCAGAGGCTGCGGCAATGAAGATGAGAATTGACCAAAGCAAGATGAGAATTGACCAATTGGACAAGATGTTAGCCATAGGGAAGGAGAGGAAGGGATGGACTTGATAAATGTAGGCAGGAAGAAGCAACAGGATTAAAGAGCCTGAATGTGGGGAGATGGGTTAGGATCTGAATTGCTAGAGTGCTGGCCCAGCCTCCACAATGCTATCCCCCTGCCAGGCAGCGTTGGCCCATCACCGGGCAGCAGAGGAATAAGCCACAGTGGGGTTCATTTCTCTGACGTATATAATGCTTTCCATTCAGCTCTTCTGGGCTTAGTAAATGACTAATGAAATGTGAAGTCAGAGCAAGTGTGGAGAGAGTGGAGGGAAATCTGGGGGCTGTGAGGAGATCCTGGAGCTGAGTGAGAACCTCTCTGCTTTCTGTCATAGGAAATGATGAAAGAAGATGTATGCTGTGAGCCTGCTGTCATGGAGAGTGAAGACTTGCTGTTCCTTCTCTACACATCAGGCAGTACTGGCAAACCCAAGGGGCTGGTCCACTCCCAGGCAGGATACTTGCTCTATACTGCCATCACACACAAGGTAACGAGGCCTAGACACAAACACCAGGGATGTCAGGTCAAGGCATACAGGCAGCAGAAATACCAAGCTATGATGACAAGACCACGTCTCTACTACTTGAGCTAAAGCATAATCTGGGAGCTGCTAATGTTATTAGGGATCTAGCTGCTGGAGGGAAAGATGGTTACTAGGAGTGCAGCAGGACTGAGTCCAGGCAACAGGGGGCACCAGTGCATGTTCTAGAGCAGGTCAATTATTCGTTACTTATAGTAGCGCCCAGAGGCCCCAGGTAGACCTTGGTGCCCTGTTGTGCTGGGCACTGCTCCAGCACTCAGGAAGAGATAGTCTATGCCCCAAAGAGCTGCCAAGATGACAAGTGAGGTAGAAAGGGGGGGAGGAGCAGCAAACACCAGCAAGACACAGGTTTTATATTTACAGTCATTTATGTCTAAACATTTGTTTTTTCCTTCTTCTGTCCTCACCACGCCCTGAGCCAATCAGTTCAGGGAGGGCATTCCACCCGCAGAGAAAAGCATTGCTCAGACACCCAGCCAGTTTATTCCAGGGGATGGAGAGAGAGAAATGGCTGGTATCTTACAGAAATAACCCAGCCTTTTCCTTCTCTGCATAAGTTCTGTTGCAGTTATGCCAGCAATTTGCTTACAGGCCTGCAGTGGGGAATACAGGACATACTTAGAGAGAGATCTCCAAGACCCCTCTCCCCTGTGTTCTGAGATTCAACTACACCCAAGCATACATGAGAGTGAAAGCTCTGCTCCTGAAGAGAGCCCCTAGAGCACTAAAGAGAGGGGTCCATACTTCAATGGAGCAGAGGTAGCTTTAGGAAGAGGAAGCCCCTAAAACAGATAGCAATCTCCCAGATTTTATTCCAGTTACTAGGGTGCCATAGGCAAGTCCTCTAAAGGTACACCTACACTTGAGGGGAAAAAACCCTCACGGCAGCGAGCCTCAGAGCCCAGGTGTACAGACTCAGGCTCGGGCCACGCCACGCCACTAAAACTAGCTGTGTAGACATTCCCACTTAGGCTGGAGCTCAGGCTGTGACACCCACCCTCTTCCCCGGGCTTCAGAGCCCGAGCATGAATGTCTACATGGCTATTTCTAGTGCTGCAGCGTGAGCACTGTGCACCCGTTGACCTAGGCGCGGAGACTCACTGCCGCGGGGTGGTTGTTTTTTGCCGTGTAGCCATGAGAGAAAGCTGGAGACAGAGCTGCTGGGAACTCACGTGCTGAGCCACACTCGTGTTCCTGAGGCAGCACAGTACTGAGCTGCAGAACAGTCCCCCAAGGGAAGTGGGGAAAAGCCCATTGCTTGAGACAGTTCCCCAAGCAAACTGCTTCCAAGTGTAACCCACACACCTCCTCTGTGTGGTGTTCTGTCCCATCTAGGGGCACCAAGACCACTTAGAGAGAGAGTGATTTATGAGTCTGCTCTACAGCCTTGGCTAACAGCCATATGGCTTTTAGCTCATGCAGTAGACGCTCATGCACTAAGCTCCAGAGGTCCCAGGTTCTATCCTGCCTGCCGACCACCAGGGCCTGTTGGTGTTACACAAGAGCCACCCTTCTGGCTTCTCATGAGACAATTCCCTTTCTAAACAGCTCAGTGTGGGCTCCTTAGCCGTGGGCAAGCTCCCCCTAAACCTGATCCAGGGATCTTCATACCTCCACCCAGGCCCTCTTACCAGAGGGCTCCAGTCCTGGCCTTGGTGCATCTAGTGTTCATGTGAGGCCAGATCTGGTGACTTAGGTCTGAAATGCCCTGTGTGCCAGGGGTGGGGACGTGTGGAAATCTGGGAGCCAGTGATTTGACACAGAACAAAGCAACGTGCTTAACCCTCCCTAGACCCCTGGCTTGGCACAGTTGTCCTGCTGGCCATTGCACGCTGTGTAGCTATTGCTTGGCAATACTGGGGCAGCTCATGAGAACAGAAAGCTGAAAGCAGGGGATGTTGTCCCAGGACAGGAATGTGGGAAGCAGGCAGCACTGTCCAATTCCAACACATGGCCACGTTAGCTCCAGCTGCTCTGGAAAACATGACCAGAGCTGGAATGAATTCCTGCTTGTTTTCCCCAGCTGGGTTCAGCAAGCTGCTGCTGCTGCTTGAATACTCTGTTACTTTAAACAGAGACTATCACAGAGGATAGCGAGTTTCCATTACAAACACACCAGCGCCTTCCTCACCCCTGGAAACCTCATCTGTCACCCTCCTGTCAGGGGGCCCACTTTGCGGGGAGCTGCTCGAGCATTGCCACAGCAAACCTAATGGCAGCTACAGTATGTTAGTAAGGGACGAGAGGTTTTTAAAGTATTGTAGGAAATGGTGGATCTCAGAACAACGGCCAAGAAACAAAGGGCTCCAAGGGACATTATACTGGGAAACTTGCTTGGTGTTAAACAGACGGGAAATGGAGTGAGAGGAGCCAGGCCCAAGTAAAATAGATGTTTCACTCTCAGGGCCAGCCCTGCTATCCAGACTAACATGGATACAGACTAACACAGCTGCTACTCTGAACCCTGCTATCCAGTTACTCTAGGACATTCTGTCCCACCCCCTACTCCAGCATGACATCCATGGAAATGGGAGGGTGTGGAAAATAGCACAGTCTGAACTCCGGGTCCCTGTGACGGTGCAGAGCCAGGCTTACCTTGCGGAGTGGGACCAGGGGCGGCTCCAGGCACCAGCGCAGCAAGCACGTGCCTGGGACAGCAAGCTGCGGGGTGGCGGCCTGCCGGTCGCTGTGAGGGTGGCAGTCAGGCGGCCTTTGGCGGCATGCCTGCGGGAGGTCCACCGGTCCCGCGGTTTTGGTGGCAATGCGACGGCGGGTACGCCGAAGCCGTGGGACCGGCAGATCACCTGCAGAAACACCACCGAATCTGCATGACCGCGGACCGCCCGCAGGCATGCCACCAAAGGCCGCCTGACTACCGTGCTTGGGGCGGCAAAAAACATAGAGCCGCCCCTGAGTGGGACAGAGGGGTGTCCGCCTGCTAGCCCTGCAGAGCCAACGCCACAAGAAGAGAAGGGCTGGAATCTATTCTGGCTTGCAGAGCAGCAGCACAACTATTTGTCTTTATTAGACAGTGTTGTGAGGGGGAAGGAACCCAGTCCTGCTCACGGGGGAGTTTGAGGGCTGGCAATCGCAAAGAGACTTTTTTTTTTTTTACTGGCAAATTGAGCAAACTGGATCTGGAGTCAGCGAGAAAGAGGAGCATGAAACCCCATAGTGGTCTTTTTAGAGCGTGACCATTCAAAGAGTAGAACTGCTCTTGCGGGGGAGTTGGGGGGGAGACTTCACAAACTGATTACACTTGGTAGCCAATAATTTCCTTATCTCCGTTTTAGATTAGCGGCTTTTCACTTTCATCGAGTATCTTCTTGATCTTCTGAGAAGGGGGAACACAGGCACCGGCTCTACCGTCCCTAGACCAATTAGTATTTTAATACACCATTGTCACATCCCCTCTGACTCATCTCCTCTTTGAACTAAATAGTCTTGCCTCTTAGGGAAGTCTCCTAGGCCTCTGCTCATTTCTATTTCTACTGTACCTGTCTGTGGAGTGATGAGCAACGCTGAACACTACTCCAGCTATGAACTTACTGTTGATTTGGCTAATGGCAGTATCACATGGTCAGTTCAGTTCATTATACAGCCTAACAATTAATTTGCACAGGAGCAGCTCTTTTCCATGAGTGGGCCCAGTCAATTTAGAATCCAGCAGTGTGAAGGAGTGGTCCAAATGGTTCATTCCAACAAGCATGCCCTTGCACTCGCCAACAGTGAATTTCATCTGACATCACGTTGCCAAGTCTACCTGTGGAAGGTCCTTCTGAAGTTCCTGACAGTCCTCAAGTGTTGACTCCAATAATAATGGGAACTGGCTTGTCTGAATTTGCATCAAGAGCCTGGCTCCTTTCCTCAGCACAGGACTGAAGCTGCTTTAGTTATTTATTTCTTTTTCAGCAGGGCCCTAACCAGGACTACGGCGCCATTGTGCTGGGTACTGCACAAATGCAGAATAGGCCAGTCCCTGCTTAAGGGCTAAACAGGGACAAGCTGTGACAGATGGGTGTAGCAGAGAGGGTGGGAAGCAGTGACTCACAACAATTTGGGCGTCATGGTGGATAATCAGCTGAACAGGAGTTCCCAGTGTGACACTATGGCCAAAAGAGCTAATGGCATCCTGGGATAAACAAGGGGATCTCAAGTAGGAGTAGAGAGGTTATTTTACCTCGGTATTTGGCACTGGTGCAACCACTGCTGGAATAGTGTGTCCAGTTCTGGGGTCCACAATTCAAGAAGGATGTTGATACATTGGAGAAGGTTCGAGAAGAGCCACGAGAATGATTAAAGAATTAGAAAACATGCCTTATAGTGATAGACTCAAGGAGTTCAATCTACTTAGATTGAAGAGAAGGTTAAGGTGTGAGTTGATGACAGTCAGTAAGTACTCACATGGGGAACAAATATTTGATAATGGGCTCTTCAGTCTAGCAGAGAAAAGTATAACGTGATCCAACGACTAGAAGTTGAAGCTAGACAAATTCAGACTGGAAATAAGGTGTACATTTTTAACAGTAATTAAGCATTGGAACAATTTGCCAAGCCTGTGGTGGATTCCCCATCAAAGGCAATGTTTAAGTCAAGATGGGATCTTTTTTCTAAAAGACCTGCTCTAGGAATTATTTGGGGGAAGTTCTATAGCCCTGTGTTACACAGCAGGTGAGGTGATCACAATGGCTCCTTCTGGCCTTGGCATCTATGAAGGGGAAGACGAGGCTGGCAGAGACAGGAGACTTTAGTTACAGATCTCTCCCACACAAGAGCTGCTCTGGCAACCTCTGTGGTAGGAGGGGCCCTGTCTCCAGGCTACAGCTCTTGCTCTCTTCTTTTTTTGCACAGTATGTGTTTGATTACCACGATGGGGACATCTTTGGCTGCGTGGCAGACATCGGTTGGATCACAGGGCACAGTTATGTGGTGTATGGCCCTCTGTGCAACGGAGGTACCACTGTCCTTTTTGAGAGCACTCCAGTGTACCCCAATCCTGGTGAGTAATGAGGAGGTTCAGAAGAGCCCCAGGTGCAGGGAAGGGCAGCAGGAAGAGGTTGTGGGGCTGAGGGAAGGATCCTTCTTCAAAAACACTCAGCAGCCATTCTGCCAGAACTGTAAGAAGCTATTATAAATGCATGAATGTAACCCTGCTCTGAAATCTCTGGCAAGCAGGGAAGTGACCCTGGCCGCTCCATGCAGAAGAGAGAGAGGCCTGAAATTAATTCCCACCTCAGCCCACGTACCAAAAACTCCTGACATCATGGCATGAGTTGAGTCCGTGTGTGGAGCTGAAGAACACATTGAATTCCTCTCGTATCCCAGGGAAGGTGGTAGCGAACCGTCTTATTCATGGGTGGAGCAGTAAGGAGAAGAGCAAATCCCTCCTTCTCTGGAGTGGTCTCTTGTTTATTACATGTGTGGCAGGGTCTTGAGGGGGATGCTAGCTGTGCCCTTCCCTGCTGCAGAGAGAGCTGTGGAGATGGTTATCAGGAAGGGCTCTCAAGAAAGGAAAGAGTCACTGCTCCTCCTGGGTTTACCCTGAGCTAAGTTGGCCTGGCTGAGAGGGCCATGGCACTGCTACAGCAGGGGTATGAAAGCAAGGAAAATATTGGGATGAGCCAATCCTAGAGGTAACTGGCCCAGTTTCCCATTCCAGGGCGTTACTGGGAAACAGTGGAGAGGTTACGAATTAATCAGTTCTATGGAGCACCCACAGCAATTCGCTTGCTGCTGAGATATGGGGACGAGTGGGTAAAGAGATACGACAGATCTTCCCTCAAGACCCTTGGATCAGGTTGGTACCAGGTGATGGTTCGGGGCTGACCAGACTACCACTCTCAGACTCAGTTCAGTAGTGGGCTGGATTAGAGGTATGTGTTGGGTCAGTACTTTGCAGTAAGAGAGAATACACCACCAAGGAGAAGGCCTATTCGTTGGCCCAGGTCCATGATCTTGATAAAGCCAGTACGTCGGAGGAAAAGGGAAGGAGAGAATTTTTTCTGAATTGTCCCTTAAACATAATTCATCTCTCTTTCCCCTTGCAGTGGGAGAACCCATCAACACAGAAGCATGGGAGTGGTACTTCAACGTGGTTGGCGATGCACGGTGCCCAGTAGTTGACACATGGTGGCAAACTGGTAAGAAGCAAAGAAGACCCCTCGCCTCCCATTACAGGCACCTACGCAATTCCCCAGGTGTAATACCCATCTGGGATTGTTCAGCTGGGGGTAATTATTATTTAGACATCACCATAGATGTGCATGGCACATTACAGCCAAGTGCCCAGCACAGAGACCCTCTTGGCCCCACCACAGGACAGACAAATAAATGATAGGATTTAAAATTAGCCTGGAGAATAGATGGTAGGGACCAATCCAGCGCTGGACTAGATGGGCAAGACTTTCCATCTCTAATTAACAATCTTTTCCAGCCACCTCCAGACAGCAGAGAGCCTTGCCTACAGCAACCCCTGCATGCGCACAGAAGCAGATGGATCCCCTCACCACCACACGGCCATTAACCATGCAAGGCTTAGGGGGAAGGTGGATTTCTTAGCAGTGTTCCATGGCTTTCGCTTTGACCTAATTTCATGGGTGTCACCATTACATTTACCTCAGAAACAGGAGGCATCTGTATCTCTCCCCGTCCATCCAGCCCCGGAGATGAGATTCTTCCAGGCATGGCCATGAGACCATTCTTTGGGATCAGCCCTGCCCTCCTGGATGACAAGGTAACTTACAACCATCAGTCCAGAGGTTCTCTTAGCCAATGTTCCCATACTGTTCCCTCCAGCAGGCAGAGGCTGGAAGTAGAGGACTTGTAAACTGGACCCTGTCTCCCCTCCCTGCCCACCCCAGGTCATGTCCCACTCCCTACAGATCCTCCTATTTTGAGCAACTGCAGCAAGGGAGCTGGTAGCAACCCCTTGCCATCTCAGCCTGTGTTCCTGCACCGTTCTCTATAGTGCCCTGTCCTGGGAGGAGCTCGGACACATGCCTCAGAAATGCTACAAAGGTATTTTCTGGAACAGTGGGTTCCAGCTTCTCAGTAACTGAATGGATGCCATGCTAGACTTACAGCCATAGCTGTAGCTATATGCCACTGCCCAGGGAGCCTGGAACACACCAGAGGAAGCAGATCTGGACAAGGGCACAGAACAGGCTGGGCCTGGGCGAGAACTGGCTTCTGTCAGAACCAGGTGTTAAGCAGCAGAGTGGGCTGCACATCACCTCCCTGCGGGTGGTGTGAACTAGATCCTCCCGCACTGCTCTCCATGTCTCTCCCAGTCAGAAGGTTGTGGTGGGGTGTGGCAGGTAAAACTAGACCCAGGACCAAGCATGGAGGTTACCCTCAGCCCCAGTCATGACAAAGTGTATTATTTTCCAGGGAAACATCCTAACACAGAACAATGTCTCTGGAGCCCTCTGCATCTCTCAGGCCTGGCCAGGAATGGCACGGACCATTTACAATGACCACAAGAGATTTCTGGAAACCTACTTGATGCCTTACCCAGGTAGGATTTGCAGGGAAGGACAGAGGAAGATGCACAGTTGATCACGGATTGGAGACTAGAGCCACATGAATAAGGGGTTTTATGGCGAATGCACGAGACTGGCACATGAGAGATCTGGGTTAAATTCCTGGCTCCAACAGACTCACTGCAACGCTTTGGATAAGTCACATAGTTTCTCTGTGCTTCAGTTCCCCATCTGTAAAATGGAGGTGGCTCTTCCTTTCTTCCACCCTTCGTCTGTCTCATCTATTTTGAAAATAAGCTCTTTGGCACAGGGACAGCTCCTTACTATGTATATATAGCACCTACCACAAAGGGGTCCTGATCTCAGTGGGGACCACCAATTGCATCTGTAATACAAATGTCAGCTCCTGTAGCAATGAGAGAAGGGAAGAGAAGTGTCCAGACCATGGAGGGCTGAACTGTGGCATGGGTCCCAGGCTTGTGGGAATGGGGCTGGTCCAGTAATGGAGCATGCACCCCAGAATTAAGGGTGGTAACAGGGAATGCTCCTGAGCTGTAGAGCTGGGAGAATCCAGGTTGACTGGGGGTAGGGAAGTCCCTTTGCCCTGAGTTTAGGGAGGGCACAGTATACAGGGGGGATAGTGTTGATGTGGGGAGGGGTGTACCTAAGCCATGGAGGTAATGAGACAGGGGAAGAGGGTGCAGCTAGCATTGGCTAGCTGTGAGAGACTCTCATGGTTCTGATCATCACAGGATTTTTCTTCACGGGAGATGGAGCCTATCGTACCAGCCAAGGATATTACCAGCTGACAGGACGTCTGGATGATGTCATCAATGTTAGCGGGCACAGGCTAGGCACTGCAGAGCTGGAAGATATTGTGGTAAGAGGTTTGGGCAGAAGGAAGTGGTAAACACCTGACCCCTAGCTTATAAGCAAGTACGAAGAGCTGAGGTGGGCAGAGCCTCTTCAGGGAGCAGAGTAGGAGCACGGGGGCTTCCGAGTAAAGAAACCATGAAACACTGAGTGAACATAGCACCTTGCTGTCATGCCTGAGTTTTCTGCTCCAGCAGGAGGCCTTGTAGGGAATGGGGCAGGAGTTCTATCTGGAGCAGGTAGGGTGGAAGGGGCAGTTCTCTCATCTCTACTACTCCCACTCTGATTTCCAACCAACTCTAGAGCTGCCCAGCTGGGATAGTGATCATAACATGCAGCCATGATTTCTGAAGTCTCACTAGGACTCTTCCCATCACAAGTTCTATCAAGCTAGCTACAGCTATGAGTATGTTGCAGCTGCCCTGCTGCTTTACTGGGTAGGGGGCAACCCCTTCCCCCTGCAAACACTTCAGGCCTTCTTACCTTTCTGTCAAAGGGCCCAGCACATGGCTGCACTATGCTAAGTTCCACTTTCCTCAGCAGTATCAGACTAGATGGCAAAGTATTTAGCTCCAGTATCACAACTAAGCTGTTCTAACAGCACAGGCCACAGCTCTATCCTTGCACTCAAGGGAGGGATAAAGGTTTATTTGGAGCTCAGGCTATAACTAGGTGAATCAGAAAAGATTCAGAGCATCATGCAAATTTAGGGGATCATCTAAACCAGGAGTAGGTAACCTATGGCACGTGTGCCAAAGGCAGCACGCGAGCTGATTTTCAGTGGCACTCACTGAGTCCTGGCCACCGGTCCGGGGGGCTCTGCATTTTAATTTAATTTTAAATGAAACTTCTTAAACATTTTAAAAACCTTATTTACTTTACATACAATAGTTTAGTTATCTATTATAGACTTTTAGAAAGAGACCTTCTAAAAACGTCAACATGTATTACTGGCACCTTAAATTAGAGTGAATAAATGAAGACTTGGCACACCACTTCTGAAAGGTTGCCAACCCCGATCTAAACCTTGGAGGCCCCCATTGTTATGAGATTGGAGTCTCTCCGTGCTCTTTGGAGCAAACACATCCCTGGGTTTGTAAGCAGGGACTACCCAGTGAGATCTTGTGAACAGGTTACTGGGTCCTGTTGCAGCAGGGGTGGGAGGAGCAGAATGGGTAGTTGCCACTCACAGAGGTAAGCCCAGAGCTGGAAGAGGAAGCAGGGGTGTCAGGCCTCTTCCCTACACACTACTGTGTGGCAGGTAAGTAGGAAGAGGGCATGGAGGCCACCTTGGGAGCTCCCCATCTCTCTCTGCCTTACAGCTGGCTGCACCATGCTAGTGTGTGGCAGGACAGGCTCCAGGGCTGCAGCCAGCCTGCCAGGACTGCTGAAGTGAAATACAGACCTGTTTTGTTCCAGAATCAGCACAGAGCGGTGGCAGAGTCAGCCGTGATCGGCTTCCCTCATGAGATCAAAGGAGAAGGTGAGGTGCTCTGATTCCTGCTACTGCAATCTCTGTAATGGTCTTCACAGCTGCTAGGGCTAGTGGTGGGAGGAGGAGCCATTCTAGGGTGACTGCATCCCTGACTTGTATGGGGGAGTGGGGACACAGGGACCACACTCAGCATCTGTCTAGTATTTCTAATACACTCACCACTGTGGTACACACGGTAAGCTTTGTGGGGCACAACCGAAAGTGGGGTGGGAGTCACCGCAAGAGCCACATGGCTTTGGGCTGGAAGGGGGTAAGTCTTGGGTAGCCTTACACTGCAGGGGTTTGCAGCTTCAGGCAACACAGGACTCCCTCCAGCACATCTTCAGGAGGGAGGTCCCAGAACCTCACTGGAGGCGAGGAACCGTAGCCCTGTAGAGGAAGAGTCTCAGCTTTGGTGAGATCACTTCAGTCCAAAGGTTTGGACGAGGGAGGTGTTGGTGATCCAAGATTCACTTAGGTCACAGACACACCATCTCAGCATCATACTTCAGGCTGCATCTCAGCTAGTTGCAGAGTGCTTAGCCCTGCACTGGACATCTCCCTGAACCATGGCTTGGTGCACGGATGAGTAACTCCATCTTTTCCCAGGAGCGTATGTGTTCATTGTGCTGAAGAAGGGGACTGATGTCTCTCAGGAGAGGCTGAGCAATGAACTTAAGGAGCTAGTCTCAAAGAAGATTGCAAAATATGCAAGTCCTGAATATGTTCAGGTAACAGCCCGCAGGCCTGTTCCTGCCTGCACTGCACCCTGTATGCCCTCAACCCTGTCCCAACAGCATGGCGGAAGCCCCTTCCCCACTGCTCCCAGCCCCAGATGACACAGTTTAGGGCTGCAGCCCTTATTCTGCTCCTTTCTGCCGCAGGTCACAAAGCGGCTACCCAAGACCCGTTCAGGTAAGATTATGCGCCGTGTCCTGAAGAAGATTGTAGAGGACAAGGCAGATGAGCTTGGGGACCTGACCACCTTAGATGACCACGAGGCCGTGGAGGAGATCATCGAGGGGCACAAGCGCCTCCTGCAGGAGGAGCAGGGCCAGTAACCCAAGTGCAGTCAGAGACTCTCTGCTCCCCTTTTCTTCACCCCTCCCACCCCCATCTAATTTGGGACCTAGCCTAGAAAAAGCCAATCAACAGGCACCAGTAATTCAGTTGAGATCAGACCTTTATTTTTCACACCAGCACTGAAGACCTTGGACCTCCAAAGCAGACCGTTCCTCTGAGAAGTGACCGTGTCTGGGGGCAGTAAGAGTGAGGGTGAGGCAGGCAGAGGGGGTGAGGAAGGGTGCCCTGCTTCCTCCCTGGGAAGCGGAAGGTAGAAGGCCCTAGTGAAAAGCCACCATACCCCTCCCCGCATCTGGATAATGAGGAAGGAGGCAGAGGGCAGAGGTTGGCTAATCCCAGATTGGAGGCCTCTCTTCAGGATGGCTCCCAGCTCCAGCATGTCCATGTAGAACACTAAGCGCCCATGTTTTTCCTGCTGCTGCTCCAAACCCACTGCCACAGCACTGTGTCTGTGTGGGGAAGCGGTGTCCATGCAGGACAGGGTCAGCTTTAGGGAAAATGGCACCCTGGCTGAATCTGTATTTTGGCACCCTTTGAGTTTGAGAACAGTAGCATGGGGCGCAGGGATCAGGTGCCTGCCAGGCTGCATAGGGAGAAGTTTGAGCCCAGGGTCTCCCTTCACCATACACCCCGATCACCTAGCAGGAGGAGAGTGGTGCACAGCTACTGCCTGTGCCCACAGGAAAGGGGGACCCAGGGGCTGCCCACTGGCTCTGCAGGGGTGAGCCCTGCTGCCTGCACCTCCCAGAAAGGCTGGCAGCTCGGGGCAGCACTGCCCACACCTGCCCGGCTGGCCAGAGGCTCCAGCCCAGCTTCCACTCACCTGTGCTCTGGTAGCCCAGGCCCACTAGCTTGTGGCACTCGCACATCGCGTCCTCCCCCACCCCAATGCCCTAGGCAGTTGCCCACTTAGCCCACCCGTAAGGCCAGCCCTAGTGCAGGATGACAGGAGGAAGCAGCTGCTGTCTGCCACCAGCTCAGGCTGCTTGATGAATGCTGCCACACATACCCCATGCTAACAGGCCCTGGATTTTAATGCAAAATGCTTCTAGTGAGGTTCAGCCTGGGGTAAAATGACACGAACTCCATGGACTAATCTACCATGTGCTGAGCACGGCCCTGAACAGAATGAGGAGACATGGGCCCTGTCCATCCCAGCAGATCCCAGCCTCACGTTCAGATGATAGTGGTCCCTGTGGAGACCATGGTCCTTTCTGAGCTAGCATCACACTGCAGTCAAGTACAGGCACCACTGGCCCTGCCTTTGCACAGCACCAGATGATGCCTTCTCCTGGCACCCAGGAGTTTCCCCCCCCCTCCATCCAAAGTTATCCCCCCTCTCAAAAGAAGCAAGAAAATGGGGCTCCTTCTGCTCCCCCCTATCACGATAGGCAGGAAGAGGGGATCAGATGCCAGGGGAATGGTTTGGGGAGAAGCCCCCTCTGGGGGGGATGAAAACCTCCACTCTCAGCAGCACCCAATAACAAACAGTTTGGACAACAGGCAGAAAGGAAAGACACAGCCCTGGTTCCTTCAGTAAAATCCAGAAACCATCACCCTCCTCCCTGAATACTGATTGGCTCCTGGTGGCTCTGCAGTTCCACATCTACTAATCAGGTGTTTCTGCAGCTCCTGGGTAATTAACCAGTCTCAAGCCTCCGTACTTTTTTCAGCATCCCTCACTGGCTGGGAGCCGCCTCGCTCTCTCGGTTCTTGTTAGTTCCCATCTTCCTCTTCCGGAGAGTTTCAAAATCCAAGTGTGAAACTGCAATTCAGCAACACACAACTGAGTGCCTTGGCTTCAAAGGGGGATCCACTTCCTCCCCAGGAGCTGGCCCATGTACACCCCACCATCCCTCTCCCTCCCTGCCCAACTCCACGCCATCCACCCACTGACAACATATGCCTCTGCCATTCATCCACCTGCCCTTCCCTGCCCTGTTCAGTCCCAAATGCAGTCCAGGAGCTAGCAGGCCCCCTGTGCTGATGGAAATAGGTCTGCCGCTCTCCGTCTCACCTTTTCCAGGCTGGTGCGATGTCCCACACTGACTAGCGTCATCCCCAGCTGAGCGCAAGTGCGGTATAGCTCATTCTCCACCTCCTCTGTCAGAGCACTGGTGGCTTCATCCAACACTGAGAGCAAAGCAGAAAGCCCCATCAACATGGCATCATCCAAGGACTGCAACCAGTCAGGCTAGCTAGCCAGCCCGGCCAATCCCTGCTCTCTAGCCTGCTTTTCCCTATAGGTGTGGATTCTGGACTGAGCAGCTGTTGAGACCCTTGCTCACATGCTGCATGGAGCTGTCAAAACTGAAACCTCCATGGAGGGACTCTTAGGCAAACTACAAAAGGTACCAGAGAAGCAGGGCAGGGACCTTTGTTCACCGCTGGTCCCAGCTCCCAAAGCTACTGTCTGCTGAAGGGGAAACCTGGTCTTCCCAACAGGACTCCTACTCCAGCCAAAAGAATGCAGCTTGCGTCATGTACCCCCTCCAGCACAGTCAGGTGCCAGTGAGTATTACCGGGGTGTGTCTTTCCCTAAGAAACCTTCAAACACCTTATAATCTGGGGAAGTCTCCCCTATGAGAAAGCCTCCAGGGCTGGAGACATTGGGGAAGTTAGAACCCCAGCCCCATTCACTCCACAAGCTGGACCTCAGTTCTGTGGCAATGTTTCTGAATTCAGCTACACGCTGGTGAGGCAGACTGGAAATTCTGCAGCCATTTCACTGAAATTAAAAATGAAGGGTTTTAATGACTACTACATTCTTGGAGTCCCTGGGGTATTTTACAGACTCCACAATTGTCAGTTTTCAACATACCAAAGATTTTTGTACTGGTGGCCGGGGTTGTGAGGAAACAAGCTGCAGGTGTTGGTGGCAGGGGATTGTGCTGGAAGCATTTTCACTCGCGATTCACTTTAGCAGAAACATCCAGCTCAACAATCAACAAGGCTGCCAGGTACATTTGGATCTTTAGGTTTGAGAATCAACATCCCAAGGTGATGAATGGGACAGATCATAGAAATGCAGGGCTCAATTAGTCCAGCTCCCTGCACTGAAGCAGGACCAAGTCAACCTAGATCACCTGGACAGGTGTTTGTCTAATTTCTTTTTAAAAACCTCCAGTGACGGGGATTCCACAACGTCCCTTGGTAACTTGTTCCAGTGCTCAACGAGCCTTATAGTTAGTTTTTCCTGATATCAACATGAATCTCCCTTGCTACAGGTTAAGCCCATTACTTCTTGTCCTACCTTCAATGGACATGGAGAAAATGATCACTATCCTCTCAATAACAGCCCTTAACATATTGGAAGATTTATCAGGTTCCCTCCTTCACTCTTTTTTCCTCAAGACTAAGTTTTTTTTAACCTTTCCGCGTAAGTCAGGTTGTCTAAACTGTTTATCATTTTTGTTGCTCTCCTCTGGACGCTCTCCAATTTGTTCACATTTTTCTTAAAGTGTTGTGCCGAGAACTGGTCGCAATACTCCAGCTGAGGCTGCACCAGTACAGAGTAGGGTAGAAAAATTACCTCCCACGGCTTAGATATGATACTCCTGTTAATACACCCAGAATGGAATTTGCCGTTTCTCAAATGCACCGCACTGTTGGTTCATATTCAATTTATGATCTACTACAGGCCCCAGATCCTTTGCTGCTGCTGCTGAGCCAGTTCTTCTCCATTTTGTAGCTGTGCACTTGATTTTCCCCTCCTAAGCACAATACTCCCACTCAGAGCGACCGTTTCAGGCTGCCTGCTGATACGCAGACAACACCGCACTGGTTCTGAGCATGTCATGTTTATCTTCACAACCATTAGAGCGCGAAACAAACAAAAGTTTAGATTCCAGAGCACAATTCCACACCAAAGGGTGGGTTGTGTGGCACTGCTGAACACCAGGGCCCCCGTTATAACAGCCGCCAGCCGAGGAAGAGGAGCCTCCCTGAGCTCAACCTTTGAAAAGTAACTTCTGATGTTTTTCTATGAAATGTTGCACTAAGTGGGGTTACAAGCTTCCCCGGTGGAGCTTTCAGGAAGCCTTGCTGAATACTCACCCCCACGTAGGAAATTCCCTGGTAAACAAGCTGGATAAAAAAAACTGAGCTAAGGATGAGATCATTTTTCCCACTTGGCATCTCTTCCCCCTCCCCCACTTAATACCACTCAATCCCTACGCCCGACCTCCCCTTGGAATATAGATACACTCCCCCTGCCAAAACGCTACATGCTCATCACCAACAGTTATTGTAAATAATTAATGCACAAGCTTCTCCCTGGAGGGGAAGTGATCTAGTGGCGAGCGCAGTCACAACCTTCTCCCCAACAACTCTCTCACTGTGGGCCAAAGGACCTGATGGAGGCAAAAAAGCTCAACACTGTAACTCAGCTCTACCACTTTGTCCACGTACACAATGAACAAAACATTCACTCAAGTTACCTCCTGTACTACACACAGACACATACAAATCTGCACTGAAAGTACATTATTAAGGTTGCAAAGTCAAGCTCTCAAAAGTCAGGAAATGGCAGGATTAAGGTTGCCCGTGTAATCAGCACTAGAGGGGGATGTGAAACGCTTTACCAGTGGATTTCACAGATCTTTGCTGACACCAGAGCAATGGGTTCCACTGCAGGTTCTGGAAGGAACACGCTCCAGAGGGCACAGCCTCTTCTGCCATTCCCCTACTAAGATTTGACCCCTTCTGCCTTGTCCCCTCCAACCTGTCCCATTCCTGTCTCTTACCCACCCCGGGCTCCTCATCCCACTGAGAGCACAGGAGAGACAGGCTCCTTGCTCTCAGTTCTACTGCCGAGTTCTCTCTCAGCCTACAGCAGCAATTGTAGGGAAAGTCCGACTCAGCCCTAGGCTACAGCATATCCAATACAGATCAACTCTTCTGCCAAGCTAGCTCTGAAGCTCTAGCAAGTCTTTAATGAGCAGGTGCAAGTTGCAATTTTTTGAAAGGCTTATAACTTGACTAAATTTGGGCAGATTTTCCTGGAGGATGGCAAAAGGCACATCCCTGACACAAAGGCCATCTCCCTGCCAAACTTCAAGGCCTTGCTCCAAAGTATGGCCCTGGAGGCCCAGGGCAGCTGGACCGTGAAATCCCATTCCCTAGAAGTGCCTGGAAAGCATGCCAGAGACTGTGGCTGGAGCCTACTGAGACTCAGGAGAGCTTATAAGTACACAGATCCAGCACATGGGTCCAGACACAGCAGCCTTGTGAGCATCCAGAAGGGGAAGCCCAGCCAGGCCTGTGACACCGAGCAGACACCCAGCATAGAAGATTTCAGCATGAATAGTTAATGTTTGGCAAAAATTATAAACAACTGAAAACAGGGTCTTGTAATGGCGAGTATCAGGCAATCTTAATAACAGATGATGCAATCCGCCCCCTACAACCTGTGTAGGAGCTCCAGGGAAAGAGTGTTTTCAATCCATCCTTCATGAGACACCGTCCCATGGCAATTCACTCTCTCCCTTTGTCACTTTGCCCACAAACAGCCTGGTGCCTTTTCCTGTTCTGCCCTTGAGCCACAAACATACTCAATGGCCCTGTGCACCATATAGTCTCACTCGCCTTCAAACGCCTCTTCCTCACACACGTCTTCCCATTAGCCTTCCTGTCCTTTGCAGTCCCCCTCCACCCATGGCACTGATCACAGATTTTAATATATTAAGGTTGTGGGAAAGAATTTGAGACGACAACACAGGAGAGCATCTCTTGTGCTCTGTCTCAGTGGGAGCCCTGGTTCTCCCTCACCTTTGTTCATCCTCTTTTGCACAGTTTAGTCTAACAGTCAAAAGCTCCCTAGGGCAGATATTTGCCACTTCTTTGGTCCAGCAGGCACCCTGAACTATGGGACTGTATAAAGATGTTCACTGGGACAGATGCACACTTCATGTGGCAGCTGGAGGGTACACACAGGAAGTCATGACTGATGGCAAAGAGACCCAGACGGTTCCTGGCAAAGGAAAGGGGGTTTTCTAAACAGTCTCTCTGCTGGTTTACCCCTCCAGCTGCACAGAGACCCGCTCTTCTCCAACCTGCCGTCCCTCACCTGCATATCTGGGTTGGAGGTAGAAGAGCCTTGCAAATGAGAGTCTCTGCATCTCCCCTGGGGACAGGATGTCATACCTGCAGCAGAGACAAGAATCAGAATGAGGAGCAATTAGCACCAACTTGCCGATGAACCGAACCCTCTGGCAATCAGTAACACGAGAGAACCATGTGAGCCACCTTCACTGTCTGCATCACAGAGCAGTGGTCTCAGAGCAGTCTCCTGCAGAGGCACTCAGCCCCCCCCCCCCCCCCCCCACGTTCACAGGAAGCCAACTCCTTTCCAAGCCTGGCAGCCAGAGCTGTCAGATTCAGAGCTTAGGGGTGGCTCTGCAGCCCCAGGGATCTCAGATTGCCTTGGGAGCAGATGTGCCTATGTGGGACTATCAGACTCAGACGCTAGGGGCAGGAACCGACTCTCAATGCTAAAATGACATCTGTTCCCAAATACCATTCCCTTACCCCGTGCGGCTGGATGCAGAGGATATTCCCCTCAGAAGTCAGGTCAGCTCTGTGTGACTGCTTCGCACTCACTTCCACTAACCAGGAGATCTACACAAACCCAGCCTCAGACACTGCACCAGCCTTACCAGTTCCAATCCACCTGCTGGTCCAGACCCCCTGTGCGCGCCAACAAATCAGACTGCAAATGACACAGGAAAGAGACTAATGAAAATCTGATCACATCCCCAGCTCTGACCAACAGCCTCCCATGGCAGATACAGCCCTGAATAGAACCACTCCCTTTGTCCCCAGTGCTGTCCTCGATAATCCCTTTCCATCCTTCTCCCAAAGTCACCTCCCGCACAAACGTGCCTCCTGATTTCACCTTCCCATGACAATCCTTCTCCCAACCCGGTGTCACTCCTGCCCTTGGTACGTTCCCACCTCTTCACCGGTGTCGCACCTTCCACGGCAATACTCCTCCTCTGCTGAGCCTAGTGGGAGGGTTCTGTGCAGGGTATAGAGAACACCCTGCACATGACACTCAGCACTGTGCTGCCCTGCCAGGAGAGGTAGGACAGCACAGTGCCTCCAGTGATAGCACAGGCCAGTTATGCTGTTGTCAGCTCCCTTAGCAACTCACCAGCCCAGCTAGCTCCAGGAATTGCAGGATCCTCTCATCATCTGCAGACCCTAGAACACAAAGAGCATCATCAACATGTCCAGGACAACAGCATCGCTAGGGCAACACCTTCGTGGGATCACCAAAGATTGGCCAACAGGGGCCCAAATCTCCCACTGCTTCCCATGAGTGTTTCTGGTTGCTTGTTTATTTTTTAATAAAGTCATTTAAAGTCTAACTTTTGACTGTCTGAACCACTGCAGAGCTGCAGGTTTCACACTCCAACCTTCGGCCCAAGGCTAATCCTCAAGCAGCTCCTACAGGCGCACCACATGCAGGGGAGGTTAAACACCAACATCCAGGAGCAGCACCATGAACAGAACAGACTTGCCACTCTAGGCAGAGGTTTCAGAGCTGTATCTAGAGCCTAGGTCAGTGGAGAACAAGGGAGGAGAAACAGCCCGAACACAGAGACCAAGGGTTCAGTAGTTCTGACTGTGCCCAACTGCCACAGAAACGTGCCTTAAGCAAGACTGCCTCAGAGCTCTAACCCTCATATTGCAAGCCGGGAAATCCCAGGGGTCAGAACACAGGCACCAGCAAATGGGGAGTTCTGGGAGGGGAACAAGAAGTTCCAACAAATGAAGGGACTATATCAGAGCTAAAACGAGCCAGCCAGTTGGAATCTAAAATGGACACGTGAGCTGATGTGGAAGCTGAGCAGAAGAGCCATGTACCTACCAAGTGCCTCTCTGAAGTGAAGTTAGCCTTTGCCACCTTGACATTAGGCGACTACAATGCACTCTACATGTGGCTATGCCTCCAGCCTATCTGGAAGCAGAATGTAGTTGCCAGCTTATTGGGCATTACTTCACTCAGACAACATTACACTGGAGCTCTGCAGTCTGCACTGGCTTCCAATCAGACTCCAGTCTGGTTATAATTGATAGAGTCCTACAAGGCTTGACTCCTGGCTACATCGGTCACAGGGGTGTGCTTTGGGGAGGGGAAGGGGGGGAAGAGATACCACCCACAGCAGGGCTGACTCTGGAACACAATTCCTATGGGTCTGACAGAACCAGGATTCATTTGCCTTCAGGACATAATGCAAAGTCCGGCTATTTTCTCAGGTTCTTTGTGAGGGGGTAAGTTTATTTAGAATAGGCTCCCTAGGCAGGCTCTATACTCTGTGGAGCAGTCATAAAACACAATAAAAGTTACAAGAAATGACTGTCCAGCCCACCATGGTATAGCAATAAATACCCGCCATCCAACAGGAGGATAACGCAACAAATCCAGGAGTGGGAACGTCCAGTCATGGGCTGTCAAGTAGCCCTGTGGTCTGGGTAAACTTTGGATGGGCACTTTGCGGAGCACTTTTTTTTAAGCTTTGTTTTTGTATATTTAAGTGTTTGTTTAAAAACACACACACACACACACACACACACACACACACACACACCCTAGATCTGCTGGGAAAGGTGCTTTCAGAAATCTAACGAAATATCTATTATTTACCATGACAATAAGACAATTTGGTTCTGAAGGGGGCTGGTGATGAAATATGTTGGGTAACATTACAAAGAACAAAGGAGTGTTGTGGGCAACTACTACAGCACTGAGAAAGAGAAAATCCACAGCACCCCGAGTACTTGAATCAACTGATCCTATTCTCATGGGGGCATCCCACTCCTAAGATACCCTTCATGGACCTACTTCTTACTGATCAGAAGGTGCAGACTCAGTGTTTGACTAATCCAGAATCTGGTGGAATTGAGAAGTGTAGTAAGGGTGATTTGAGTACTTCCCCCACTCCACACACATGTATGGAAATCAGCAGGGAACCCTAGAAGATTCCATACATAAGTAGCAATGAACAAGGATTCCAGGGTTATGAGTTCAATCCTTGAGGGGGCCACTTAGAGCTCTGGGGCAAAATCAGTACTTGGTCCTGCTAGTGAAGGCTGGGGGCCGGACTTGATGACCTTCCAAGGTTCCTTCCAGTTCTAGGAGATAAAATAAATTAATGGAGATATCCTATTTAAATTTAAATAAAATTTAAATTTAATGATGCCGAGCACAAGGGACAAGCAACGGCCAATGTGGCTTCACAAAGGGCTGTTCACAAGAGCGAATCCTCCTCCCGGAAGTGTATGGAGAGCATGGAGCTGAACTACAGACACAGATAAGGCTTTCAAGGAAACGCTAAGGGCAGCAAAAGCAGAATGAGTCAGTGCTGCTAATGTACGGACCAGCAGGGAGGTGGTTGGGCTGGAAAAAAAATGTGCCAGTGGGGTGTACAGGACAGGTGCAGCCAGTGATCATTTAGTAGCTGCTTCAATTAATTTCCACTCACCTGAAACTGGATAAATCTTCTTCAGAGGATAAATCACCTGGTTGAACAAACCAAACACAGACCCATGTCAGAGGAAGCTGGACATGGAGTTCATCACAGCCACACGCTGTGCCCAGAACTCAGACACGAGGAGATGAGCTATCACCAGTCCTCTCTCCTATGAGCCTTTATGCAGCCCACAGTTTCCTAGCACTGGGGTTGCTTGTCCTGTCTCATCTGCTCTGAGTGCAACTAGGGACTGGGACTGTCACGCTTTGTGCAGCCAGCCTGTGGGAGCCCTGCACCAAACTGACTCACCTGCTCTCGCAGGGTTCCATCTGTGAAGAAAGGTCTCTGTGGCAGGAACACCACCCCATGGGGGCCAAAGCAGGTCAGCATGTGGATGTTCCCTGCATAGATCCAAGAGACAGAGTCACACCAATTCACAAGCTCACCTTCTAGCCCTTTCCCGGTGCACAGGCCTGCATTAGTGAGATGCAAGCACTAGGTAATGATCACGCTTCCATGGATCAGAGGTCAGGTGCTCAGCAGAGTGCACTGATGAGAAGTTCACACCACAGCATACGGGAGAGGGGACAGCTCGAATGCACCAGTGACAGCACTCACACTCACAAGTGCCACAGGCCCCAACTTCCCACAAGTGGCGCAAGTTCCACCCACTAGTCTCCCTGGGGCAGCACCAGCTCCTGCCCTCCGTTTAGTGGGATGAGGTTTTGGAGGAGTCACTATCCTTACCCCGTGTGCTCTCCCAGAGACCACCAAGGACCCTCAGGAGTGATGTCTTCCCTGTGCCAGTGTTCCCCACGATCAGCAGATTGTTCCCTTGGGAAATCCGTAGGTCCAGGTCCTTGATGAGCAGCTTGTCCGAGGATGGAACCGAGAGAGAGACTCGCTCCAGGAGGAAGGCTGTATCCCCCAGCACAGTCTGCTCTCCAGGACCACTGGAGCCCAGAAACCAAGGCAGAGAGAGAAGAAAAGAGCCAAGGGTAAGTGACTGAGCCTTGAGGTGGTGAGGAGCAGATGCCTTCCAAATGACTTATGCCTCCCCTAATGTCATATTTAGGGCCTAGATATCATGGCGACTGGTGCCTACTGACAAACTAAACAGATTCCAGCCTTCGTAGTTAGAAAGCACCAGTTACTAGGGTACCAAGGTGTCATTTATACCAGCTACGCTGTGAAATAATGGGCTAATCAGTGACCCAGCACAAAACCACAGCACGGACCACACAAGCCACTGGCCTGCAGCAGGGGCTCTGGCAAAGGGTAACCACGAACTGTGATCTCCAGTTCCCCCTTGTGGAAACATTGCCATAGCAGTTGCTAACTCTGGAAGGCTGTACTGGGAATACACAGCCCCCATAGATGGTCTACACTGGAAAAAAAACAAAAAAAAGACCATGCCAGCAGGTCTCAGAGCCTGGGTCGGCTGATTCAGGGCTCGCGCTATAGGGCTAACAATAGCAGTGTAGACATTACTGCTTGGGCTGGAGCTCGGGCTCTGAAACCTGGCAAAGGGGGTGGGTTTCCAAGCCCAAGTGGGAAAGTCTACACTGCTACTGTTAGCCCCGTAGTGCAAGCCCAAGGACCCAGGCTCTGGGACTCGCTGCCACAGGGTTTTCTTTGCAGTGTAGACATACCTTATGAGGCCCTTTCATAGCGGGGCCGCACTTCAATCCAGAATTAAACAGATTCAAGCTGGAAAACAACGTGTAAGGAATCAGCGACTTAATGATGGACAGGACAAGAGATGGAGAGTGTGGACGATTCACTCATAACTTTTTAAAACACACACACCCTCCTATGAATACGAGACCTAGATCCCACTGTCTCCCTCTCCCCTCACTCATCTATCTAGAGTGTACGCTCTCTGAGGTGGAAGCTGTTTTTGTAGATGTTTGTCCAGCCCCCAGCACAAAAGGGCCCAGATCCTGTGGGGGTGCTGTGGCTGCTATTACATAAGTTATACTCAGTGGGGCTCCCAGACCCAATCTTCTCAGACTGCAAGTCAAAAACTATCAGACTGCAGGAACCAAACCGCTCATTCTACTTCACGCCTCACTGCCCACAACAATGGGAACTGCACTCTGAGCTCAGCTAGCAACAATCCTGATGCATGAGGCAAATCCATCCATCTCCTCAGCAACCTGCTCAGGCCCAGGAACCCAGCAGGAAGGAATCAGGGAGCACAGGGGCAGCAGAAATGGCAGGAATAGAAGTCACTTTGCTGGCCAGAGGCATCTGACAGTTAGAGGCCAAGGCCAGGATTTTCAGACTTTGGGGCTTGCAGTCCTCATCCGCGAAAGGCAGGCCACTTTGATTCAGGCCTGCCTTTAGACTTCTAGGTTTGGAAAGGTTGACCCACGCCCCTGAACATGCCGTCAGGTCCCCACCCCTCCAAGTACTGGTACTAATCCCACAAATGGAAGGAACACATTCAAAAGCGTAGAAACACCCTCCAAATGCAGGGGCTGCCATGTCCGACAGGATGTGATGATCTGGGACAGTAGCAAGAAGGAAAATGCTGAAGGAGAGCCCCATAGTGAGGAACCGGAGGGAGCCTGAAATTGGCCAAAGCCCTGGAGAACACATTATCAAGAACAATCCCACTGGCTGCTAGGGTCGGAGCAGACTAGATAGAGCTTCTCTCTCTCTCTAGAGACTTATTTACCATTTTCACTATGGTCGTGCCCTGAAATCCTAGTTGGGATCAGGACCCCACTGTACTGGGTGCTACATGTACATGCACGCACATGAAGACATGCTCCCTGCCCCAAACAGCTTATAAACTAATTTGAAACACGATGCGACAGGTGAACGTGACAGTTGGAGGGGAGAGGAGGCAGCCAGTAACAGATCACATGACTACGAATACATTGGCGGTAGGGGGGCTCAACTTGCTAGCCTCAAAGGGCTTTTTCCACAAACACCTGGCTACCAGCACCTGCCTCTTATTGAGCTGGTTGATTTCCAAGGCTACAGATTCCTTGATTTTCCAGTGATATGAACATACTTCCCTGCCTCAGGGAGATTTTAGGGACATGCCCAATGGTTGTTTAATCTGTGCCTATTTCTCAGGCACACCGGATGCAGACCTCTGCCCCTCCTTATAGCACCCCTGGGGGAATTCAAGGGAGAAGGACCTGAGGCTGCAGTGTTTGGAGGAAACCCTATTTTACCATCCCAGAGGCACATCCAAAATGCCTGATGAACGTGAGAGTTTTTCCCACAGCCTGGAAACCCAGCTGCAGACAGTAAGTTACCATCCCAAGCTCAGGCTGGCCGCAGATACTCACTTGTCAAAGTCCCAGTTGGTTTTGGCTTCTGATTCACAATCACGGTGTTTCCTGGAGAGAGACAGCAGTGCCTCCTGCAGCTCCCCAATTCTGTAAGACAGAGGGGGTAGCAAGAGAGACAGACGTGACTCCGCAGCCCTCTCCCCACCTTCCAGCTCCTGTCCTCACTGGGCTTCTTAACAGACTGTATTTAATGCAATGTGCTCAGGGCTGTACAGGACACAGAGCAAGTCCTACCCTACAGAGCTGCCAGGCTGAACCACTGACAGGACGTCCACTCGTGGGGGGAATGGAAGGAGGTTAAAAAGAGTTCTCTTTTGTTTTTTAATTACCCAGAGTTCCTAAGCAGAGGGCATCATGGGGAGCTTTAGGAGGGATGCTGGGAAGGAGATGCAGCCAGTTCAGTGCCTTCCATTGCAAGCTACTCACTGGACTAGAAAGTACATGGACACTAGTGGGCTGCGACTAAGGCATATTTTAAAGGAAGAGCTATCCTTCCATTCAGCATCTCGCCTCCGCAGTGGCCTCTTCTGGCAAGGGGATTCCAGTCATAGGCAATCAGCACCCAGCCTCTGGAGACAAGTGCTCCCTGCCAACCTCGGTTCCAAATGGGCCCACGGCAGTGACCTTTGAGTGCGAGTTCTCTGGGGCAAGGGCAGTCTTGCACTAGGTGTAAGGACGGACCATGCCTAGCACCATCTGGGTTTGGGTCTGTAGATGCTATCTTCATACTAAGAATGACACCTCGTACAAGCTAACCACACATTAGCAATCACCCCTTCCCAAGGAGCCCTGCCTAGGGTACAAGCTACCCCACTTCTGCCAGAGCCGCAGACTGGGACATTCCCAGAAGCCTTGCACTGGGGCACCAAGAAGGTTCCCTCTCCTGGAGACAGGATTAAGGGAGGGCAACTCTCACCTGTGTGTGTAGCCAGCCACGTCAGACAAGGTGGCGGAGAGATCGATGAGCTGGCTGAAGCAACTGATGAGGTAAATGGAGACAAAGGCATTCTGCCGGAAAAATCACACGCCGGGAGAAGAGTTAGCACGGAGACGGGGCAGCAGCGCCCGGAGCTGAGGTGGCTGTGCCTGCCCTCGCAGCCAGCAAGCAAGCGGCAATGGGATACCATATTCTCAGCTAGGGGCAGCCATCACAGTTGGGCATGTGCAGTCGCTCAGACTCTAGGAGAGTGGTGACCCAAAGAGGGACAAACGACAGAGAAAGCGGCACCGGACAAGAGACTTAACAGGGCTCACCTGCACCAGCCTGGAGACTGACCCAGGGGAGATCCCTCCCGGTGTCTGCTAGGAGCTGCCCTTTCTCACTCCCCACGGCCATTGAGCGAACTGCCTCCCATAAGGCCATCCCTGTAGGGAACACGATCAGCCCACTGCAAACCCAATAACTGGCCGGGGGGCCTGGTGGTAGGACTCGGGGAGGAGAGGGCACCAGGACTCATTCCCCACAGGAATCCCCACTGGCCTGAACACTCCCTAGAGCCCTGGATGCGTGCCTCACACTGATGCCTTAGGAATCCCAGCCAGTAGGGAGCTCCTCTCAGTACTCCAAGGGTTAAAGCCTCTAACAGCTTTAAGAGAAAGAGGAACAATCAGAAGAACCACCAGGAACTCTGAATAAACAGGCTGCATCTGTTCGGTTAGCACGTCCATGAGTCCTGCAAGTTGCACTGCGACTCCTGCCAGCACTGAGGTCAGTGTCCTCTCCCCGGTGTCACGCTGACCACTTCCCCCCGACCCTGTACTGGAAGTCGTCTGCTACTCTCGGATGCATGTCTCTGCTACACAGCCTGGAATGCTAAGCTGGCTGCTTTTAGATCTGCATTACCAGTCTCAGACTGTTTTTGTTCAGCTGGGAACCAGTCAGATTTGGAGGCCCCTCCCTAGGGGCCTAGTGAGGCAACAAAAGCGGGAGAGAGATCAGCCTTCTAGACAGAGCAGTTCCATGCAGACAGGGGCTTTTGGAGCCAAGAATCTGGTTTGTGGACAGGTTGGTTCCATGAGCAGCCAGCTGCTGCAGCCTCTCTTCAGTCTGCAGAAGCAGTGGGCTTGGCAGTGCTACATGGGCCCAGCCCTGCGCCGATGCCTCGTGCTGTCTCATCAGTATGTAACCTTTCATTTAAAACAGGAGGGCCTGATCCTGCAAATGCCTGTGTGTGAGATTAGCTTTCCATACGTGAGGGCATCGAGTCAATCACACACCTAAGAGTTTGCAGGCACAGGGCCTATGTTTCTAGCCCTTATGTTGGCAAAGAATGTCCTGAATGTGACCCAGTGAAGTCAGCATCCCTACCGAGGGGCAGTCACCCCCCCAACCTCCAGCACCGCCTCTCGCAGCGCAGTGCTCGCTCTGCTCTCAATATCAGCCACCCCTTCCGCTGGAACCCAGCCCTGCACAGCACATCGCTCTCTTTGGATTTAGCGCCAGACCCTCAGGATTGGGTCAGCCTGTGCTTCGTCACATCCCCTGGCCTAGTGTCCTGCAGGGTGCAAGGGGAAGAACCGCAGCACATGGAAAACGTTCCTCTGGTAGATGGTGCTGAACTCACCTTGCTGACCAGAGCGCTCAGCTGTGCTGGATCCAGGTCACCATAGACACCACTAAAGATGGGAATGGCAATCACCACGTAACTCAGAATGCTGCCCAGATAGTCAAAGGTGTTGATCCCAACTGGATATAAACACATTGGCAGGAGTTAATGAGCAGGGAACAGCCTCTATCCTATATGTCCCTGGGGACTCACTCCCCAGCCCTGATGATTACCCTGATGAAGCTGCCACATGCCCCTGCAAATCAAGGAAATTCTTCACTTACTGTAGAGCCACAGTTCTTTGCCCATCAGCTCCCTCTGTGTCTGCAGGAGGCTCTGCAACCGGCAGTCAGTTCTCATGTGCTCTACCTGCCCAGCTCTGCAAAACAAGACAGTAGCATGCCATGGATCTACCAAAGCCATCACATACTGGGTGCACTGCAGAGTGATGAAAGCATTGCAGGACTATTGTAGTTATCTGGAGCATGCCCATCACCATAGTATCTGAGCAATGTTATTGTGGTGGCCAAGCACTAAATACCCAGATGCCTGGTGAATGTGCCTTTGAGGAGCTCCTCAGCTGAGGGAGGTGGCCCTGAGAAAGAATCTGCCAGAGCACCCTGGTATTTCTATTAGACATGGAGGGCAAAAGAGAGGCAAGTGAAGACAGCAAAGCCCAACACCGGACTAGGGCGCCCGTGGGGCTACTTCATGCACCTGAACAAAGAGCCTTCTGGAATGGATGGACAAAACACCGCAGTGTTCCTGGAGTCAGAAAGGGGAGCAGTGAGGCGAGCTGAGGAGGTGACATCTAGCCACCTAGATGCCCAGTCCTTACCTTGGCCACTGCTCTATAACCGTTGCTGGAGCAGCAATGGACTGATTACTGGTCTCTTGTGGGTCACTATGGCTCAGGTCTTCAACATCCTGAGAAGCCAAACCGTGAAGTACTTGACACAGCTAATCCAGGTGAATCTGTGTCTATTGCATTCATGTCCCTGGAGCTGTCTGACTAAGACTGGATTTCAAGCCTGGAAGGGGGCTCCTCTCCCACCCCAGCTTTAGTAGGTGCTCATATAGTCGCAGTCATTGCTGACTCTTAGATCCACACCCCTCTGACTGCACACTGGGAGCCTAGATCCTTGCACCAGAGAGCTCCATTTACACACCAATCCACCTGGGCTGAGGCCTGCAACAGCTACTTCCACTCATTCACAATGTTTACAGCGCCCTCAGGTGGTGAAAAGCAGAAAAAGATAAAATGTTTAGTATTCAAACGCAGGCTGTGTCCACGCTGAATTTCTACCAACTCTAGCCCCAGCGGAGCGGCGCATGGGGCTAATCCCGGTGGAGCTGCCGTGTAGGTCCAGTGCAGGTGCTTTTACCACCATATTGTCCAACTTGGCTCACAGCACATCTAGATGATACAGCAGTGAAGATACTTGTCCCCAGCTCCCATTATTGTCATCACCACATGGGCACAGCACTGGGCTAGATCGATGGAGGGAGAACTGCTACAGGTGCTCAACCGGATCAGGCCAGTGAGCCACATACACAATGAGACAGGGAGGGCTGGAGAATGGGGCAGCCCCTGTTGTCCCCCAGTGACAAGATCCCATAGTGCTAAGGCTAGAAGGTGAGGGGAACATTGACCTTCATAGCCCACAGCCAGGCACTCCACTCCAGACCTTATCAAGCTGGGGGCCCACAGGCATCAGGGTTCTAGCCAGTTGGATGCAACATCTTTAGTAATGATCTGGTTCAGGCGGGTAAAGAGCATGTTGGTACAACGCTGGGAGGCACTGCAGAGACCATACAGTACTGGGCAGGTCCCACCTGGGAGGGCACGCTCAGTTCTGGGCACCTCAGTAGCAGCAGACATTGACAGAGTGGATGCAGTTCAGAGAAGAGCAACAAGGTGGCCAGAGGGACTGAGCTAGGAGGAGAGAGAGAGAAAGAACTGAAGTCTGTCTAGCTGGGCTGACAACAAAGGGGAAACAGGAGAGAGTAGCAGGATCAAATTAGGAAAAGGGAACCTTAGAACAGATCTCAGGAGAGGATCTTAACAGGATAGGATGAGGCCCTTGAACAGTCTCCCAGAGCAGTAGAAGAGGCCCCAGTCTGATGCACCAGAAAATGGTCTGTAGGCCATAGAATAATCCTAAACTGGACCCTGAAGAAGGGGGAGAGGGGAAAGGGTTGTTCTTCTCCAACTCCTAGGATTTTAATGCACCTGGGTTATTTATTGACCACTGGCAGCAGGTGCTGTGCAGAACACAAAGGAAGGCACTGTGGCACAATTACAGGTCTAGGAAGCTCTCCTACAGGCACTTTTTCTTAAAGGAACTGTAGGACCCAGCACAGGTCCTGTACTTGGATCATAGCAGAGCAGCAAGTTAGAGACTTGGTACCAGACACAGGGGGCAGGGACAAGGGCCCTTAAACAGGACAGGACAAGGCAATGCAAGCAATAGGATAGGTCCCTTCCCTTACTGTTCTGGAATGTGTGAACTGAGCAGTTACTCTAGGAGCTGGAAGGATCCATGAGAAGAGATGAGAAGAAACAGGTTAGTCCACCATTTACCTGTAGAAAGCAGCTGGCTCTGCATTTACACGAATCTGCATGTGCTTGAACCTGCACAACGCAAACCAAAACGTGAGACGCGACCACCCCACGGATTACACAACGAACATCCCCGCAACAGAAACATCCATCCCTGCTCCTGCCATCATGCTGAGTGACCTGACAGATTCTTAGCCCAGGAATGGGCCTGAACATAGGGCCAGAGGCCTTGAGCAAGGTTCAGAAGGGCACTACACTGCCCTATACATAGGTACCATCCGAGCAGGTCAGTTTAGGGTCTAGTTTGGTCTCCTCCCTTCTGCACCAATCACACTGGACCACTGGCATCCCACTCGCTGGGACAGCCCAGTATCCCATAGCTTGTTTACTAGCCCAGTAGCTCTGATACACTGGATCAGATCAATGAGCCCATCTAATCCGGCATCCCCATGCTGCACCGTATCACACCAATGGGCACATCTGCTCTGCTGTCCACACCTCTGACAGTGACGGATGCTGGCTGCTTCAGAGGAAGCTGTCAAACCCTTATAATGCACCTGGTCATTGACCAATACCTTTCCAGTTTATGCCCTGAAGCATAAGGAGAGATTTAGAAGACCTAAGGGCTATGTGGGGATTTCAGGCACATCATGAAGGTAAGTGCATGTGTGTGGTGGGAGGAAGAGGAATGCCTCAAGTCTCAGCCACCCTCCTTGGTGAATGTGGATCAAGATCCAACTTAACAGAAGCTCCATGCTCCCTCTACTCCACAGCACCTCACTGCAATTAGCAGCAGCACCAGCAAGGGATCAGTGGAAAACACTGATGGCTGGACCAACGGAGACCAAGGGGCGCTGTCTCACCAGGTCACACTCTAGTGGCAGGGATGGGTGGGGCTTAGCACGTTGATCCCAGATGGGGGTCTCTGAGGCTGGGTTCAGTGGGCTGGTTGTGGGCTCAGAGGAGCTGAGCAGGCTGACTTGCTTAGTCAGAGGAGGGGGGAGGAGATTAGCCACATATGGGTCAAACACTGAGTGGACTGGACTGGGGGCTGAGCAGGCTGGCATTAAGCAGAGCAATTCCAGAAAGGAAGGGTCAGTGACAGCAAGACTCCAACCACTCACCTGAAATCCCCCTCCAGCTTCTCCTGATGCACCAGTTTCGACACAATGGGACTCATCAGCACCTTGTTAACAACTGTCCCAATGACAAAATACCCAAAGATACTTACTGGGCCCAGCCAGCCGGTGCTAAAGGGGAAGATGGAGAGAGGTTAGCTAGCAAACCCAGGAAAGGCCACACACTAGACTGGGAGGGTAGTCTCAGAAATACCCAGCCCACTATTACACATGAACCCCAGCATACTAGGTCTAGGAACTCTACCCGCCCCCTGCATAGTCAGAGTCATCCCCACCAAATCAGTGCCAGGAATCCCACACCATGTGCTAATGCCAGGATTCAAATTCCCAGCCCCTAAGTTCTGAGAACCGTAGCACTCCCAGGAATGGTATGAAAGCAGCTCTAAGAGGTGCAGTACTCCAATGGGAAGGTGCAGAGATCCTACCTTTGAAAGCACTGATAGGTGTAGTAGCCCAGTGTAAAAGGAGAAATGATGAGTTTACTGGCCATGGAACTTAGCTGTCTGCAGAACCTCTCCACATCCTGACTGATTCGCTGGTCTCTGCTCGACATAAAACAACACTGTTAAAGCCAAGTATGAAAGCAAGAACAAATCAGAACAAGAGATAATAAAGCCCTGTCAGGACGCACCTAGTTCCTTCCCCCACCGCTTCCACCCCACACCCTGGGGAGGGCTGTTCCATTGTCTATTCTCAGGGTTTTGTCCAATCCAGTTTTTGAGGAAGCAAGTAATGGGGCTTCCACCACTTCCCTTGCAAAACCGTTCCACAACCTGATAGGACTTATTAAGATGCCATTAACAACACCCAGGCACAATGTTCCTTCTCCCTTCTTGGTGCTCACAACCCTGCCCCTACTTAGCCATCTCTTGGAGCCCCACGTGCACTACAAAACCACCAAGTCACTTCCAGACCTCTCAGCCTGATTACACATATCAGTTAACAACACAGTTAGGTGCCCTATCCACGCTGCCAAAGGCTGACGCTGCTGTAATAAGCGGCTTGACCGGATTATGTTTAGCGTGTAGGCTGGCCCCTTATGCAAGCTACACATATTTTTCAAAACTTTCTCCATAAATCAATCCCTTACTTTCACTGCTCTCCTTTGAACTCCTTCCAATTTGTCAATATCTGCCTGGGAAGGAGGTGCCCTGAACCCACACAGTACAGAAGGCATGGCTTCCCCAGAGCCGGGGGAGGGAGACTCTCCCCTCCTTAACTCTTGACATGTTCCCTCTGCAACCCCAAAACAGCACCAGCTTTGTGGTTTTATGCTGCCCCATCATACATTGATCTTACTGCTACTGCTGCTGTCCTCCCTACTCACAAGTGTTTGTGACCATCTATCATCCAGTTACATTTTAACTAGACTGGAAACCAGGGGCAAGAATGTTGTTTTTCCTTTGTCTGTTAAGCAACATTTATGGCTCCATATAAGTAATATTAATTCAGATACCCTGCTAGAACCCTGACCTGTTTGGATGTGTTACCCTGACGATGCCCATCTACTTATTCGCCCCAGCGCAGAGGGGAGCGAGAGAGAAAGAAAGAAAGGTAGTCCCCAGTTGGATTACATAGTGTGAGCTAACAAGACACCACCTCACCATTATTGCTTAGCCTCTAACCTCCTGGTGCAAGGGAAGATCCCTGAGGAAAACCCATCAGACACATTTATGTCCTGGAGTATTTTCAATTATGAGCCATAGCAGAACACATTTGTTTGGGGGCGGGGAATGAAATGTATTCCATAGCGATACAATAAATTCATTCCGTCGCAGAATTTAGGACTTGCTGCCATACAATTTGGTCCCATGTTGCTGAGGAACCAAGGGGGCCCTGATTATATAGTGCACATCCCAAGGTTAAAAGCAAACATTTGACTAAGATAAGTCTGGTGAGGGGCCTCTCTGTTCCTTCCCTGAAGGAACAGCTGGGTGTGCGTGAGTTTTTGGTTTTGATCCATGCTCTGCACTGGCTGCCTATCACACTAACGAGGCATCCAGGTGTCTTGACCTTAGGCACTACTTTCTAAACCTGTTTCTGCACTTTTGGTCTCTAGTGCAAAGTTTTGTCAGCAACAAACATTTCTTGAGGTTGGCGGCAGCTCCAGTCATGGCTGGAGAATCATAGTTCAGTGCCACTCCTGTATCTCCATCCCACACAGATGTGGTGCTAAATCACTTTTATTACAGAATGATCATGATCCTCTTAGTTGAGAGGACTAAATTGCCTGAAGTCATCTCCATTAACAAGAGTTATGGTCCCCATTAAGCAATCATTTCCTGTAACTATCTCTGGGCTCAGCTCAATTCCCTGGGAGGTGTCACCAGTAAGAGAAGTGAATTGTACCACTAGTTATCCAAGTCTGAAGTACCCATTCCTCAGCCTGTAGGCAGGGCTGTGCATAACGTCATTATGCAGCCATGTAACTTGCTACAGAATTGGTTTGTTTTTTTATTTTGTCACAAATATTTAGTTCAGAATCTGAACAAAAAAATGCATACAGCCCCTCTTCTCTCCGTGATATGAGTGCAACTAACACAGTGACTACACAAATCTATAGGCAGCCTGAAACAATAGCTCTGGGAGGGGTGACAGCTAAATGGAGTGACCTCTCAAAAGCCTAAGGATGTCGATTCAAATGGCAACATTAACTATTTAGCTGCTCATCATTTTATCAGGATCATCCAGCTCCTCTCCCTGCTTGTTGATGCAGTGGCAAATATTGCAGTGGGGTGTAATGGAGAAGCCAGTTGTCAAAGTTTGCTGGGATGAACTATGAGGAATTCAACTCTCCACCCACTACTCCCAAGTTCAAAGTCACCTCTGACCCTGACCAAAAGGGGTTGGGAAAGAGAAGATATACCCCCCCTTCTCGAGTTCGAAAGGCCTCTACTACAAGAAACAAAGCCAACTCCCAAGTCTTTCCTGGGTGTCAAAAGCCCCGGATGACCCCTGCCTGGCTGTCAAAACTTTTTAGAAAAACACATGCATCCAATTAAAAATTCTGGGTAGTTTAAAATCAAAACAAACAAAGATGCCTGTCCCAACTGGACTAGGGAGAGAGGGGAAGAGGGCGGAGGGGAACCAGCTGTATGGTTCCAAGGTCCCTGCCACAGGATAACATGTTGCGCAGCACATGGGGTCTCGTTTATAACCAACACCACTGTGCAAATAACTAGTCTCATTATTTTAAGCCTCAAGTGGACAGATTTTCCTTGCTCCATATTTGAGCCCTGTCAAAGAGGAAGGATTTACTCTGGGCAAAGCACCAGCCCAAAGGATGATCTCACATCCCTACCATGGAGAAGAGGGTCTTTGAGAGGGAAGCAAGGCCCTGAGGGAGGGAGTTGGCTGTGGGGGCAGCGGGGGGCTGCATGAGGCAGGTAAGACCTGGCAGCACAGAAGAAGATCCACCAACAGAAACAACAGCACTTTCTGCCAACCTGCAGGCAGTGAGATCTTTTGGCAATGAAGAGAGTTCTCTATCAGGAACTGCCTTCCACCAGGCACAGAGATAGGGGGCCAGGCCACCCAGCCCTAGAGAAAAACCCCCAGAACAGAATCACACACACAGAGAGCTCAAAACGGCCCCCTACCAAGGGCAGCCAGATACACAGACATGGCAGCCAAAGAGCGAGGAGCAGTTCAGGAGACACCAAGCAAGAGGCTGAAAGAAGTTGCGAACAGCCTACGGATTATCGATGTCCTCGCGCAGCACGTTCAGGGTGTAATACACCTGGCCCTGGAAATAGTAGCCATGAAGGTATTCGGTGAGAGTCTTCCTCCAGCTCACATACATCAGGTTACAGATAAACTGGTCCAAGCTTTTCAGCTGGGATGAGGCAAAGAGAGACAGAAAGAGGGGCAGGGAGAGCAATCATTTAACGATACAAATCCAAAATGAATCAGCAATAAAAAACGAAATGACCCATTCCACATTCAGCTGTCTGCACAGGGCAGAAGGGAGTCCCAGTCCCTCCCTTTGGGCACTAAGCTCCAAGAGCAAAGCTGCAAGCTGTACTCTGGGGGAATTCTGTGCCAAAATATTAAAAATTCTGCACACAATTTTCAAATTCTGCAAAATTCTGCATATTTTATTTGTCAAAACAACACAATAGAATCACACCAGTTTCAATTATTTTGGGTTATTTATTTCAAAATACGTCTCAGCAAGTATGTCTGTAACAATACAGACAACAAAAAAGATTCAGAAAATGTTTTCTGACAAATGGATTCCTTACTAGGCATATTAATACAGAACTCTAAGTAATAATTCATTTAAACTACAATACAGAACTGTATTTCCCGCACTCCTCAGAAGCAGTGCAAAGACTTGGGGGAGTCAGGGGTAACGGAGGAGCTGAGGGAGAGGAAAGTAAATTGTTGAGAAGGAGCCTGGGTGTGAACTTGGAGGGTATGGGTGGGAAAAGTGTGGAACAGGTGTTTTTGGGGGGGGTGGGAAGGGATTGTTAGCAAGCTTCCCCCATGCAGACCCTGGCTGACCCTTAGCCTCTCCCATTCAGTCAGGCACATCTGCCCATCCCCATGTATTCCTGCACCCCCATGTGTCCCTCCACCCCCACTCAGACATCCACACCCATGTGGCCCGCACTCCTCCCCCTGTCCCTATATGGCTCTATACTCCCTTCCCCATGTGTCCCTGCACCCTCCCATCTCCATGTGTCTCTGTGCCCCCCCTCAGCCCCTATGTAGCTCTGCACCCCCCCTCATCACCATGTGGCCCTACACCTCCCTCCCCGCTCTGGCCTTGTGCCTCCACTCCCATTCAGCCCCTGTCCCAGTCTGTCCTCCCACACTAGCCCTTATGAGACCCTGTCTGACTCCCCCAGCACCCCACGCTGCCTGTCTCCCCATAGCCCGTCTCCTGACCCAGCCAGACAGGCCCTGTGAAGAAGGCAGGCTCTTTTTGTTCCCTAGCTGGACGGGAGCTGCTGCTGTGTTCTATTGCCACAATGCCATCTGGTAAGCAAAAGGCAGAACTGCAGCAACATTTCAGCAGAAGCTTTTTCTGCAAAAAAAGTTTAAAATATGCATGGCTCATTAATTATGCACACGTGCAGTAGTGCAGAATTCCCCCAGGAGTAAAGCTGACAAGGGATCCCTGGTCTGACCAACAGATCCCAGGCTTGAGAGCACATGCTGCAACCTAGGGAGGACTCTCCTTTTTTATAGGGTCCCTCTCTGTTCCTCCCCACTCTAAGAGGGCAGACAGGGTGGGGGCAGGAGAGGAGGTGGTTACTGTCTTACCATAGGATCCCTCTTTGCTCTCCCTAGCCCTCTGCGAGCACATGCCACTCTTACCGTGGAATTGAGTACGATGAGTATCACAGCAATCGTAGTCAGGGTTTTGAACCCAGAGAAGTCCTTGCTCCCCAGGACCCCGTAGTACTGGCTGGGGATCAATCCCACCTGGTAAATGACCAACTGTTCTGGGAGGCAACAAGAAACACAGAGGGAAAATTAAGGGCTGAGGAGGCACAGTGGAGGAGGAGGAGGAGGGGCAAGAAGCATACCTCAATGAAAGGCCTGGAATTGCACCCCTCCCCTCTGTCCCCCAGCCCAACCCAGGCCAGCCATTCACTAGCTCACCCAACAGGGCAATGCTCAGCAGGGTCAGGAACATGAGCACATTCTGGGAGGACCATCTGGGAAACAAGATGGCCTGGATCTTCCCGAAGCGTCGCAGAAACTGTAGGTCCAGCTGGGGCTGGGGCCTGCTGAGAGATAGAAAGAGCAGGAGAGTGAGGTTAGCCAGCAGGCACTGGCCTCCTGAAGGTGCGCTATGTAATCTGCCTTTTACAGAGAAGTAGCCATCTCTGCTCCACCCCATCCCAGAGCCTGCTTCCCTGGAATCAGACTCTATCAACTCTTCCTCTACCTCAATGGAGGAGCCTCATATACCCAGTGACAGTTGCAGGAGAGGCCAGGGACTAGCCTCGGGGCACCAGGAGTGTAGTGATCCTCAAAATAAAGGACTCTACATGCCAAGAGAACAAACTGCAGAGCTGCCGCATAGAACATACACCTGCTTGGTCTGAGGCCAGCCAGGGGTCAAGTGTGTTCATAAGAATTCATTAGTCAGGGATTCCACAGCAGAGCTTTTGTGCTGGAGGGTCCCAAAGGAAAGAAGCCAAGATGGCTCCTCATGTTGGAGAATATGAATCCTTTCCCGTCCCTTCTACAGGCTGGGATAAGCTTGGCCCCACATCATGCTTCATGTGGCAGATAGGATCCAGGCCCCATGGTTGGATGGTGGGATTGATCCCACCCACTGAATGTGAATCAGAGAAGCTGCTGCTCCAGCGTTCTAGATCTACCTCCAGCGCATGCCCAAGAAGTGTGGCTATTTTACATTCTGGCAAGATGCATCTAACTTGTCCTGCCAATGAAATACCTGAACTGGGAAAAAGAGATGATTCCATCTACGGGAGGGGTAAAGCCCACAATCCCTTGGAAAACTGGCCCACCTGACTCTTGAGTTGGATCCTACAGTCTAACCCAAGTGCTGAGGCTAAAGCCATCTTCCTGTTCTTAGATTTCAGAGTAGCAGCCGTGTTAGTCTGTATCCGCAAAAAGAACAGGAGTACTTGTGGCACCTTAGAGACTAACAAATTTATTAGAGCATAAGCTTTCGTGGGCTACAACCCACTTCTTCGGATGCATCCCCGACCATTCCCCCCTGCTCTGGGTCACACTCCCTTCACTAGTTTCACATCTCCTACATCGCATTCCCACCCTGGGTATCAGCCTCCAGGCTCTCTCAGCTCTTCCCCCAGCAACCACCTTTTGCTACCCAATGGACCCCTCTCACCACCCATGCTCTGCCAGCTCCCCTTCCCTAGCTATCTAGGTACTTGTATGGCCCTTATCGCTGTAATATCAGAACACGCTCAGGCTCCTTTCCAGTCCCCCACAGCCAGCTGAGTCAGCCCCACACCGCCCTGGACTGGCCCCTGGGATCCTGGGCAAAACACAACTTCCCTCTCCTCTTCCTCCCTCCCTGCTTCCAGCTATGCCCCCCATGTGCCTCAGCTAATGTGCCCCCTACCCCATGCCCCCGCCAACCACTGGGGGGGGCGCGCAATGGCTGGCAGAGGGTATGGGGGGGCATCCAGCCAATGTGCCCCCACCGCATACCCACCAAAGCACCCCATACCCCCTCCAGCCAATGTGCCCCCCACCCCATACCCCCTGCATGCCCCGCCAGAAAACGCGCCCCCCTCTACCCCCTCCAGCCAACGTGCCCCCATATCCCCCGCACACTCCACCAACCAACGCGCCCCCCATATCCCTCCCCAATACACCCCGATCCCCCGGCTGCCCTCGCTCCCACTCACCGGCCGCCAGCGCTCCCGACAGCCATGAGTCTGGGGCAACCCGAGCCGGGCCCCGCCGCCCGGGCCAGAGTCCGAGCGAGATTGTCACCTCGCCAGCGTCCTGCCCCGGGCACTACATGAATATTCATTAATTCTTCTGAATATTCATGATATGCTCTTCTCAGCCCGCCCACCAATGGAACTATAGAGTCTCTACACCGCGAGGCAGACAGGCGCCGCTGGGACCATAGAATTCGACAGCTGAGATAGAGCAGTTCCGGGAAAGGGAGGGAGCGGACGCGGTCAACATGGCGGCAGGCAAGGCAAATCCCATACCATAGACATCTCGCCGGAGCGGCTAGAAGGGCCACAAGTCCTCTGCTGCTGCTGCTCCTGTTACACTCCCACCCAACGGATAAGAAGATACTGCAGCCCCACACAGTCCGGAATCACCACCACCGCGCCCTACAGCACAGCGCCCCCTAGCGCCACTGTTTGCAACACTGGGGAGAGCAGTGCTAGCGGGCACAGCGCCCCCTATCGAGTCACCACATAGCTCCTTGTAGCACCTGGACTTTCTTTGGGTCTCCCCTCCTTTTTCCAGTCCTCCTTCTTTTCAGAAATACATTTCCCCTGACATATATCAGGCTCATGCTCAGATGAATTATTCAGGGAAGTCTGGACATGATAAAGGAGATCTTTTGGAGTTATGGTAGAAATGTGCAGCTCTTCTAATAATATTCACAAAGATTTGCAACATACAGTTTTCTTCACTCAAATCCCTTAAAACACATCCTGCTGCCAAGCCTAGTGTTGTGAATAGTACAGCCAGAGAATATAACTCTCCTATGGTCAATTCCACATGAACCGCATCGCGTGTTTGCACTGTGAGCCCCTTGTACAAAGATGAACATGCAGTGATTCCACTTAAAGAACAATAAAGCAGTAGGAATATAAGGCAAGCTTACACTGATTGTCATCTTTTTATCTGTTACATTTTTCACAGCTGAGTCACTCTCTGACAACCTACAGCAGTTACATATCTTTCCCAGAGAAACCAAAGAAATCTCCATCTAGCACACAAAGCTAAGGCTGAGAATTTCTCCCCTCTACAAACAATTCAAGTTACCATGACATTATATCTGGGAATTTAAATGTTCCCAGTCAGGAACTTCCCAGTAATAATTCCAACACCAACCCACAAACTCCTCTACCCTGATGTTCCAGCACCAGCTCCTTACAAATAGGAAGTGGTTTGGCCAAACCCTATCTCCTCAAACAAAGCCTGACCGAACTCTCTGTCTGAGCCAGGGCAGGTACCATCAATGTTATGGCTTGCCGACGCAATCTGAGTCTGCTGCCAGTACAACTCTTCTTGGGAGCTTCCCTGGCTGCACCAGTCTGGAGTCCACAATGTCACGTTAAGCCCAACGCAGGGATGCTAGTGGTTCTCAAACTTGTATTGGTGACCCCTTTCACACAGCAAGCCTCTGACTGTGAGCCCCCTTATAAATGAAAAACACTTTTTTAATATTTAACGCCATTATAAATGTTGGAAACAAATTGGGGTTCGAGGTAGAGGCTGACAGCTCGCAACCCCCCACGTTATAACCTCACAACCCCGAGGGGTCATGACCCCCAGTTTGAGAACCTCTGACATATACATTCTAGGCTGTTGCTGTCAGCAAAGCTTTCTGGTGTCTCCAGTTCAAAAATGGGCACTACCACTTGTTTTTGGGGAGCAAGGAGCCACAGAAAGACCTGACCCTCCCCATGAAGATCCCCACTGATTGAGAGAAGGCCTCTGCAAGTGGCAAGCATTCCTCTCAAGTATGTTACTGCCAGAGGGGCTGAGGAAGGGAAGGAGAACAGCAGGGTTGCTGACTCGTGGAGTGGGAATAAAGGGGGGCCTCAGAAGTTTCAGAGAAGCATCCCCCCATGTAACCAGAACCTTTTGTGATGTTGCTCTTTTCAAACAGGTTTCTCTTTCCAGGATCACACAACATTGGGCAAACAGCATGTTGGCCAGCAAAGAAGACATTAGACTAATACACAGTAGCTAGGTGGTGGTGAACAGCATAATCCCACGTGTGTCCCAAGATCCTGCGATGAAACCCACTATTGTAAAGGATAAACACAAGAGGTCAGAGTGGAGGTTGGTGAAAGAGCAGAAGGGGGAGGGCAGAGTGAGACTGATGCGAAATGGGGAGGGTCTGTGGTAGGAAGGTGAAGTAGGGGGCAGAATAGGGTCTGTGTTGGAACCTAAGTTACCATTGAGTTTCCTGGCCTTTCAGCGATCTCATCTTTAATGCTGGAGTCAGTTAAAATTATTGTTTTTGCAACTGTCATCTTAACTCTGGGTTAGGAAACCTTTTTGCTTGAGGAAAATCTGATTGTAAAGGGATTTGAACCCCTTTGGGCTTGAGGCCCTCATTTCCTCACAATCACTCCTCACACTTGGCCCTCTCTTTGTATCCCTTCTCCCACTGCGCCTTTGGGCTTTTCCTCGCACACACACAACCCCTGTGCCCACAGCAGGCTCCCTTTGGCCACACACCAACCAACCTCACTCTCATGTCCTGTCCAATCCCTCCTCGCAGCTCTCTCCTCTTGGCTGCTTCCCCACACTCGTCTCTGCTCAGACACTAGCTGCTCCTGAGCCTGATCAGTTTAAAAAGAAACAAAAAAAAAAATCAGACTCGACATAATCAATTAAAATGCACACAATCCGCCTCCTTGCAAATATCACTCTCCCCATCCCCTGATTCTCATCTCAGCCCCCTCCCATCACAAACTGCTGTGATTCACAGCTTTATCAGTCATATTTAAAGGTCAAGCTCCAAAGGGCACAGACCATCTCTGTCAAACACTGAGCCCACTAGCATGGAATGTTATGGCTCCTGGTGACCATATTTCCCCAAAGGGAAAATGGGACACTGCCTGGGGCTAGCCCAAGGGTCCCCCCTGCCCGCATGGGGCCAGCCCACCCCACTCACCCTTCCCACCCATGCAGGGCCAGCCCAGCCCGAGCTGCTTGCCCAAACCCTCCCTCCTCCTGCATGTTCCTTCCTGCCCCGCTAGGGGTTGCACCCCACTTTTCTGGCAAAACTGGGCATTTGTCCCATTTGTTCTTGCCAACTGCTCTTGCCAACTGATCATCAGTTGGCAAGAGCAAATGGGACAAATGCTCAGTTTTGCCACAAAAGTCCGGGGCAGGGCTTATAAAAGGGTCTGTCCCGACCAAGACGGAATGTATAATCACCCTAGTTATGGCTATAACATCACAGAAATAAATGTCCGTCATTGCCACAAAAACTGAGGATGGCAGCCCAGGGCTAGTTCCACCCCCTCGGAACAGCAGTCTGTAAGAGGTGGCATTTGTGAACCATGTCATGTCAGTAATCACCGGAATTTATCTGCCTTGCTCTCCCTCCCCCTAGGAAGATTAAGTGACTTCCCAGCCGGGACAGAATATTCATGTCCGAGTTGTTATAAACTGGACTCCACTTTGAATTCTTGGAAGCCAGGGGATCTGACACACATATACATGCTGGGCTGCAATTGTCTATTCCAACCCCTTTCCCACCACCCCTTTGTCCTCCCCCGCCTCATACAGCACCTGCTGTGAGCTCCATTTAGTGTATCAGTTCCAAGAATTTCCCCAGCCCTTCCTGACACTGCCAAGATCAAGAACAAAAGAGGAGCGCATACTCTGGGCCTCTCTATCAACTCTCTTCCCCCTCCCCCCCCAGAGCCTGTGTCCTAGACAGTCGGAGCCGCTCTCAGCACTGAACATTTACATCTTTTATGACACCCTTCCCACTTCTCACACTTCTTCACCAGCAAAGGCTGTGTCCATTCCAGGACGTGCCTCGGGGCAGGGCTGGGGAGGGGAGTGAGTCCTGGAATCAGATTTTCTGGGGATACGCTGCACTGTTTACACCACAGGCCATTTCATATCTGCTGTTCTGGCGACAGGCTCCAAAGGATCCTCTCTGCACGGCAGGGCCCTGGCTGAGGGATTTGCTATTGATTCGGAAGTTAGAGAAGGAAGAGCTCTAGTTGGCCCCAAGCAGCTACCCCCTCCCTCTGTGTATAAGCAGGGCTTTGGCCAGTCCAGTTCTCAATGAGCCATGAGATAAGGCTGCCACTCCCTTCTCTGTGCAGAGCTTGACTGATCTCACCATTCAGAAATTGCCTGAGATTCAGCCTGTATTTTCCTAGGTTTCAGTCCATCCTGTTGCTCTCAGTTATAACCCCTTGCATGTCTCCCACAATCCTCCTACCTGTTCTCCCCCCTCAGCCCGATGTTCCATACCCAAGCTAGACAGATTTAGCTCTATTCAACTTTCCTCATCAGTCAGTCTCTCAAGCCCCTGAACTATTCTTGCTGCTGTTCTCCAGCTCCCTCCAGTTTGCGGGTACAGTTCTGAATGCAGCACAACAGAGGCAGAGCTGTATGGACAGCGACTATACATTCTCTTTGACAGAGTGACAATGGCTTCTTTCAGACTGGTAGCCGTGTTAGTCTGTATCAGCAACAAGAACGAGTACTTGTGGCTTCTTTGCAGCCACACTGCATTGCAAGTTGCCTGTCTCCACATTCAGTCTCTTCCAGACATTCCTGCTTCCCAGGTTCCCCCTGCCACTGAGTAGCTGAGTTTGGGATTATCTTCCTCCAGACATATCAGCAGAAACTTTCCAAAGTTGAGTCTTACTCTGCTGTTTCCTGCCCAGGGGTCTAATCTCTAGGCCCTCTTATAGTTCTCTGTATTCCCTGGAGTTGGCAGCTGCCAACAATTTAGTGTTATCAGCAAGTGTCATAGCAGGTTGTTCAATCCCCCTTCTGGATCATTAATGAGGAAGTTAAATATAATTGGGCCTATTATTGACCCCTGCACTCCCACCCCCTTTGTCTCCCTCTTGCTCTCAAGTCTATGTGTATAGGTTGGTGCCTGTCATCCTAGTATCTGAATGACTTTGCTTCTTCTCACCCCATTCACTATGCTTGGATTAACGTTCCTCTTCCAGGGGGCCAAGCAGCCTTGCTCTCCTCTTCCAAATCTCTCCTTGTGGTTCACCGTCTACCACTAACCTCCCACCCCTGCTCCTCCCAGGGCCTACTGGCAGCCCCTGGTCCTGGGAAAGG